TGGTGCTAATACGTGGGATTTGCTTCTTCAACTTCCAGCTTGGTGACAGTCGTCTCCACCGAGTATGGTCTTAGAATCCCAGAGGCTTGCAAACTCTACTTCACATCAATTAGCTCAGGTTCCCATTGGACACGAATATCGTCGGCATCGCGAGCTGGACTCTCCACTTGCCACTATTGGTTGTCTTCCGCTGCATCGAGGCATGCTATCGACCGGCGGCAATGTTCGCGACCCTGCATGGCTCATCAGAAGCCTTGTTGAGCTCGAAAAAGAGTAATCGTGACCCGTCTAGACAATTGCGTCGACAGCCACGGCGATGGTGAAAGACGGGCAGACAACCAGAATTGCCGTGATACCGAGATGATGTCGATCTGGGCATCAATCACCGGATGAATGCTCGCAGCAATCAGGAAAGGTCGACGAAGGAGTCCATCGCGTGCTGCACGCGTGATGGGGATCGGCTTTGACTGTGATTTTACCTCATAAGCAGTGTTCATTAAGCTTATTCAGACCCACATACGCTATCCCCAGCATTATCTGACATTCCTGTTGCCCTGGTCGTTCGATCTGGCTGCCTCCGAGTCGCGTGGTGTTGGTTGTCGTGGGTCGACATCGGCGCAATACTGGAGTGAAGTTGAAAAAAGGACAATTGACGCAGCTTGAGCCGCTGCATCGAAAAGCTGCAAGGGCTCTGATTTGACAGGATCGAGCCGGGGCATTTTCCAGTGTCCATTTTACTGGGATTTCTCGGGGAGTTCATAATTTCTCGGGGAGTTCATAATTTCTCGGGGAGTTGGTGAGGCACCTCTCGGGGAGTTGGGTGGGGGTGGGCAGACGGTCACCAAGTTGGCGTCGCCGATTCAGCTGCACGGGGGATGAAGTGAATAATGTGGCAACAGAGTAATGCAAGTTGGCTTGTAACGGTCCAAAGGGTGTGGGCTTTTTTGGTCTGGCCCGGACGAGGCGTTTGTGGTGTCTGAGGTGACGATACGCCACCAAGGCGTCAAAGAGCATCGAGATCATCACGGCAGTTGTGTAGCCGAGATAGCCTGCAAGGAGGGATTCCAATATTCAGAGATGGCCAGTTCTACTATCTCTAGCCTGGATCTTGAGGTCATTTACTATGCACCTATTTTTTCAGCTCGACTTAGCTTGGCAAATGAGGCTGCACATCAACTTGATTCATGTTTCTCGAGGAAAAAGCAATGTAGAAGGGTTGATCACATCCGATATGGCAAGATGAAATCACGACATGCAGACTAGCAGGTAAAGTACGCAGCTGATGCCCAAACCCTCGTTCAGGCGGCAATGGATCATCTTTGTTGTCAAACTGAGGCATCTCGGCAATGTTCTAGGGTAGCTTGATGAGTATGCGTAACAACAGGTGACATGGAATTCAGCCCACTTCTTCGACCTTTGTCGAGGTCTGTGCTTGTCGGCAATGGATGTTGTGGTTTGCTTGGTATTGCTTGTGAACTAGCTTCTTTGCTGGCTGCATTCATGCCTTGGATCCCTTACCCTAGTGCTCTCTCTTTGTTCTCTCGATTTGTCTGGGTGGTTCGAATCTGCCACTGAGAGGTTTCCCTTTCCTTGGACTCTTAGCTCAGATATGTTAGACATGGTTATTCCCCCCTTATTCCGGTCAAGAATCGACGATTATGGCTCAGTTGCATTTGGGTTTGTCATGAGAATTTGGCCCATCCAAGTCCTTTACTCAGAGGTCAACAACTATACACAAAGAGATGTTTGCTTGGGATCTGCACATAGAACAGCTGGGAAAACTGTGAATGTTTTTGGTCATTTCATTGCTCCTCTGCCCCCTTCCTCCTCTGGCTGTTCACCATGTGCACGGCCTTGCCATCCAACAGAAACCTAGAGCAACACCACTACGGCCCACTCAACGCATTACTTTGTAAACCTGAAGGCATCATGGAGCTGTATCACCATTGACTCATCCATGGCCATTATCGGAGGTGTTTTGCAAACTCGTAAGCAAAAATCCTCCCCATTGACTCACTTCTCCGCACAAAGGCGTCACCTTCTGGTATCCGACGTTTAGCCTTGCCGCGGATATGCCCGGTTCATCACTATCAGGCTGTGCCTTTTCAACTTCAACTGAGACATTATCGCCATGACTGAATACGTCCAAGTCTACTCTGCAGTCCCCGAGGGGCTGTTGAAGCTTCTCGATGATAATCTCCCCTATTCACTTCCTTTGCTGCGGCGGATACAGTTTACCAAGTTTGAGGGCGGGTTGACAAAGACAGCTAGCATTATTCTTGTCTCGGATCATGGTGACCTTGAGGGTGAGGCGCCGCCTCAGAGGTTCTCGGCTGCGTACCTTGATATTGGGGGTGGTCCAGATACGCAAATGTGGGTGTACTCGACAGTGGAGAAGCCCAGTAACCCAGACACAAAGGAGACCATCATTTATGAGAGACAACTCGCAAGATTGGTAGATGAAGCTATCGGAATTGCCAAAGAATACAACAAGGAGCTTGCATATCCTGGTGCAGTTTTGCTAGGAACTGTCCACGACACAACACGTGCACTCCTCGCAAAGACTGGACGAGTTGAGGCACGGGAAACAGGAGCCTACGACAAGTGGCTCTTCCAATATCAAGACATTCCCAACGACGAAACCAAGTTGCCAGAGGGAATGAACTGGGCAACTGCCAATGAGGATGATTGTGCAGTTGTTGTTTCCAGGACAAATATTCCACGGACAGTGTAAGTTGTGTTGATGATAGACGAGAACAGAGTTGACTGGATATAGCGAGGTTTTGGGCCGAATGCCAAGTTTGGTGATTAAACTCGACGACGGAACTCCTATATCATGGGCATTCCTAGGTGCGTGGCAACCCCAGCACTCTTCACCATGTATCTAATGAATTAGGTTTCGATGGTTCATTGGTCAGCCTTCATTGCGAGGTAAATACCCAACTACCAAACAAATAAAGTCCAACTAACAAATGTCCCTAGGAGGGCTATCGTCGCCGCGGTCTAGCCAAGACCCTCGCCGCAAAGCTGTTTCGAGAAAAGTCGCGCGCTTTTGCTGATGATGGATGGTGTTCTGCTGATGTGGCGCCTGATAATGATGGAAGTAGGGGGATGTGTAAGAGGTTGAACGGGAAGCCTTACTGGAGGATTTCATGGTGAGTATTGAGCTTCGTATGGCTGGTTTAATGGGAGCTGACTTTACTAGGGTGTTGTTGTATGTTGGGGAGAAGCCACCGGAGAAGTTGAATGGTGTACAAAAGTGAGGGCGTCTGGGGTGAGGGTAGAAGGAATCTATATCTTAGAATTGCTTATAGAAATCCCTAACATATGTTGATGAGTGAAACAGTCAACTTGGGGCAAGTAGCTAGCCCATCTTCAAGGATGCTCATTGTCGCCTTTGTTACGGATTGCGAGATAGTGAGGAACCTACCAGAGCTAATTTGGAGACTTACGTAGTGTAGACATAGGAGTTGGAGGGCATTCTTATCAACCGGTAACATCGATAGCGGTCGAGGTCATTCCAACATCTTGACACATACTGATGATGTCGAGGGCGTTTCGTTTCTAATTTAACTAGTCCTAGTACCAATTCTCGAAGACTAAGGGCACGAGTTGAAAAATATCGCGAGAAATATTCGCCATTGACTCAATCTCCACAAGACCTAGCCATTCATTGACTGGAGAAAATCGTTTCAGAGGATAGCAATTTCATCATTGGCCGAGTTGGATTTCCTCTCAAGATTCAGACATGTACAAGGTGCTCGTTCTCGTCAACCTCATCCTCAGCCACGAATGGCAGATCGACTGAGTCGCCTCCAAGGGCCAAAGGACAAGACCGAGGGACTCCGAGGAGTTGTGCTGTGGCATGAATCTTGTAATATGGTATGCCAGGCTAGTGATGTAGTGGGCTACCACAACTAGCAAGTTCCACACTTCGTAAATATCATGTTAATGTCTCCTATAGAGGATTGAGGTCCGGGCCCGACTTTCCCGGATGCTACATGCTCGTTACTGAGGATGGCACGCTGGTAATAGAAGGCATAGTGGGCTCTGTGTGCTAGCATACCTTGCCATTTCGACAAAAGCCGCCAAGCGCTTTTGACGAGAGATACCCGAGGTCGTTCTTAATCATTGTTGATAGGGAATAACCACAAACCTCCCCAGTGGGAGGAAATACGGGCCCTAAAGCGCTCACAGAGAATGCCTCTCGCACTTGAGACGGTCCAGCAGAAGTTGTTGATGCGAACGCTCTCTGTCGACGTGAAAGGAGAAGTAAAGGAAGTGAGAGCAATATAAGCCGCGGTTATAGCCTTTAAGGCATGAAAAATAGTCAATCATTGGCCAGAATGGAGGCTACCCATGTGGACAGGGGCCCGAGTGTAAGGGTGACAGGTTCATGATCGGACAGCGCCAAGATGAGAAAAAGACGGGATTAGAAACGAGTCGCACGAAATATAGCATTCCCTATTGCTATATCGTTCTGCTCTCGGCCCACGTCTACCGATCTGATGTCTTAGTTGTCAAAGATGTCTGCCGCTACCGAACGCCTTGCGACAAACCTAGTAGCGAGCCATGCACTTCAGCACCACACTCAGCTCCGCTGCTCAAAATCACGAGTCCAATCGACTGAGCCGCAGGTGGCAGCACCATATTTATCCCGTCGGAAACACTACCGAACAGTCAAGACGTTGCCTGAGCGGACGGAAAATTCGTGGGGCGATCCCCTCTAATTTGCGATGGCCCGATGGGACGACAGGGGGTTTACCACGCATTGTTTCAGGCCTGTTTCTTGTGCCCCGGCCAAGTCAATGCGAATGTCCGGAGAATTCATGAGCTTTCCTGTCAATAGTCTTGGCTGTTATTGGGAAACAATGTGTATGAAAAGGGGCGTGTTTCCCAGTTGGACCCTCTTGTTTCTTCAGTGCGATTTTCTCATTCCAACCTTAACAAACTAAATCCTTTCGTTTATTTCCAAAAAAAATTTCCATTCATTATTCATCATGGTTGCTTTCTCCTTTCTTTTCGCAGGGTTGACCCTTGCTACTGGCGCTTTGTCTGCTCCGGGTGCGATTCCGTTGTCTAAGAGAGCTGGAACTCCAAGCAGCACCGGAACCCACGATGGGTAAGCCAATTGACTATGGCGTTGGAGGTGTGCTAACATTTTCAGATTTTACTACTCTTGGTGGACTGATGGCGGAGCTGATGCGACATACACCAATGGTCCAGGCGGCGAGTACACTGTCAAGTGGTCGGATGGAGGTAACTTGGTCGGCGGCAAGGGATACAACCCCGGTGGTCGACGGTAAGTCACATACTCCCATCTACCGAGTCGCTCTAACATGTTTAGAACCGTCGAGTACTCGGGTACCTATAGCCCCGAGGGTAACAGCTACCTCGTGCTGTACGGCTGGATCAAGAGCCCCTTGATCGAGTACTACGTCGTTGAGTCATTCGGCACGTACAACCCCTCCAGCGGCGGCGAGAAGAAGGGCGAGGTTACTAGCGATGGCGGAACCTACGATATCTACGTCAGCACCCGAACCAACGCTCCATCCATCGAGGGTACCCAGACCTTCCAGCAGTACTGGTCCGTCCGCCGTGAGAAGCGCGTCGGCGGAAGCATTACCACCGGCAACCACTTTGACGCGTGGGCCGAGGCTGGTCTGGAGCTTGGATCGTTTGACTACATGATCATGGCTACCGAGGGATACTTCAGCAGCGGCTCTGCCACGATTACTGTCGGTGGATCGTCTTCTTCTGGTGGTGATGACAGCACTGGTAGCAACGAGGAGACCGAGACTGAGCCAGTCGCAAGCGCACCTGCGGCCAGCGCTCCCGCTCAGAGCCAGCCTGCTGCGACTCAGCCCGCCGCCAGTGAGCCTGTTCAGAGTGAGCCTGCTGAGAGCGAGGCTTCGCCGGTGACGTCCCAGCCTGGCTCCGGCTCCGGCTCCGGATCTGGTTCCTCTGGATCAAACGTAAGCGCCGTTAACAACTCCTTTTATTTCACATACTCACACTCTTCATAGTGCGCTCCTCAATGGGGACAATGCGGCGGCCAGAGCTGGACCGGCGCAACCTGCTGCCAGTCGGGAACCTGCACCGAGCACAACCCATGGTACTCCCAGTGCCTGTAAGCCAGCGCCACCATCTACCATCACCCGACGCGAGGGAGATATGAAGAGCCCGGGCACACCGACAAAAAGAAGTCGAAGCCAGCAGAACGTAAGGCAAAAAGGAACTCCGGTACAGGGAATCGAACCCTGGGCTCCGCGGTGCTATTCCCTCAGGTTATGAGAGCGCGAAATGTTAGCCACTACACCATACCGGATTGTTGGTGCTGGTTGGCGTTCGGGAACTCTCTTGACGACCAAGAGCACCAGACAGAGCGATTTGGCATTATTCCATGTAAATATAGTAAACTGTAACCATGTAAATAAATAGGACAAAAGGAATACTAGCGATTCCTCTGCTTTGAATCTCTTCCAATACTCTCGGAACTGACCATTGCGCTCGTTAAGAGTCGAGCCCGTTGTTTCGGACAGTGCCGAAAGAAAGGTGGGTCAACCCCGGAGGGTCAGCTCCGGTCGGATCGGGGTCTACGGAGTCCTCCCACACTGAGACGACAGCCATTGAAGCCGACAACGAGTTGGAAAAGTGTTTCGCTGGGCTCCCGAGTTCGAATCTGGGCACGGTACTTGCGCAAGTTTAAAGACAACAGCTGAGATCAGGGAAATGTCAATCGTGAGCTTATCATCAAGGTGAGAACTTGTTCATGCAAACCACTTGTCGTTTGTCTGGATGCAAGATTTCTTGGTCGCCATGGACCTGTGGAGAAACAGAGATATGATTGTGGCCGAATTGACGGCCTGCGTCCAGGTTTGTGCTGCTGCCTTCTTACAGCCCATTTGTCTTGGCTTGTTCAATCTCGATGATCCGTCTTGTCTGACGTCAATGATAGTGATGAAAGGATGACGACCTGACCCGCATCTGCCATCAAGTCGTATTTGAAGGTTGGATTCCATCCCGGTTCTAGATTCAACATCAGCAGTTTCTTCAACTTCTTAAACATGTCGACACCGTTAGCCCCCTTTTACCAGCTCCGTTGCGGCTGCAACCAATACCCATGGGGCAAACAAGGATCCGACTCTTTGGCAGCTCGCCTTTGCGCAAAGACACCGGGATGGGAGGGAGATGATAAAAAGAACTTCACCATTGATGAGAACACGTCCTATGCCGAAATGTGGATGGGCACATATCCCGTCTTGCCCTCCTACGTCGCAAGCACAGGCGAGGATCTCCAAGATGTCTTGGACAGGTATCCAAAGGAGCTTCTTGGAGAAAAAGTCATTACAAAATTTGGCCACACAAAGCTCCCATACCTCCCCAAGGTTCTATCTATTGCGAAAGCGCTTCCTTTGCAAGTGCATCCCAACAAGGAGTTTTCGAGCAAGAAGCACAAGGAAGACCCTGATTCATTCACCGACTCAAACCACAAGCCCGAGATTGCGCTGGCATTGACCGAGTTTGAGGCATTCTGCGGTTTCAAGCCTGTGGAAGCCATCGTGGATGTGCTGCGTCGCAAGCCTTTGAGGCACTTGTTGGTTGCTGGCGGTGCGACGGTTGCGGATGACAAACTTTCTGAAGAGGGCTTGCGTCAAGTCGTCAAGACCATTCTCAAATCTTCTGACGAAGATATCAAGAAGATGTTTGAAGCGATTAGGGAACTTCCTGACTCTGCTTTCGTTGGTATCAACTCTGCCATCCCGCAAGTCTCAAAAAAACTGGAAAGCCAATTCCCCAAGACCGATCCCGGCCTGCTGGTCGGTCTTCTGTGCATGAACTACATGCTCCTCCAACCAGGGGATGTCATCTACATTCCCGCCGGCGGCATCCACGCATACATTTCAGGCGATATCATCGAGTGCATGGCACGCTCCGACAATGTCCTCAACACTGGATTCTGTCCCAAGGCAGATCGCGACAATGTGGAGGAGTTTTGCTCCGTGCTGGACTGGGAGCCCACAACCAAGATGAAGACGGTCCTCCCACCAGAGGGCTATTCTCGGAGCAAAGAGGGAAAGACAACCATTTTTCGACCACCTACAAGCGAGTTTAATGTGTTGGCGACAGATTTGGGTGCTGGTGAGCGGGAGGTTCTGGGTGAGGGTGGTCCAGCAATCCTCATCGCGACGAAAGGAAGTGCAACAATCAAGGCGAACGATGATGCATTTGAGCTGTCAGAAGGGCATGTATACTTTGTATCACAGGGAGTCAAGTTGGATATCACAGCTGGAAAGCAGGGTCTGTTGATGCACACGGCGATCGTGGAGTAGTCAGGATCGTACATGAGTGGTTCAACATGCAAAAATAAAAGACAAAAACATACAACATTGGGGATTCGCTAGTCGTCACCGACCTAGCTACTAATCCAACTCTTGCCAGGTTATCGATGGGAGATCGGACGGGATCCCGAGTTTTCTGGCAGATGTGGTCGTATGTGCTTGGGTTGGGGACAAGAGGCAGTATGAAGTGTGGGAAAGGGCCTGTTGGGCAATGACCGAAGGACTGAAGGCATTTGGAGAGAGACTCGCTATATGTTAAATCGCGTTTCTTTATGGCTTGGTAAAGTAGTTGTTAACATAATCCTGCTTAGAAAAGTGGTGATGTCTGTGTTGGTGTTGAACTGCAGCTCCGTAGGTCCAGGCAACACCGCCTCCGTGACGTTCTCGCACTGTACGAAGCCCCGCTTTTCACCCCTGTCATACAGCACTTTTCGCGCGATGAGGTGTGATGCCTGGGCCTAAAATACAGTGCAAGATCAGCTCTTCCGCACGAGACTTCTCCCTCACACAAAGCAGTCGGTCATTCACGAGGGCCCAAGCTCAACAAGCACGACTTTGGTCTTACAACAACCACGATTGATCATGATAACCTCAATTCATCTCACTGTGAAACCTGTTTTCTCTGATTGCTCCAGTCTTTGTTTGTGAGATTCGCTCATTCTCACGTGCTACGCGACTCCACAGCCATTGGCATCGGCAGCTCATGTCGACCTTCAATGGCATTGTGTCTGAGTTTCCAGACATACGGAGTATGTAGGACCTTCACGACGCTCCGCAACAGCTAGCTGACGTTTGTAGTTGACTTCTTCCGCCACAATGCAGATGTTCAACCCCCTCTTGCTTGCTTCTTGAGCCATGTCCACAGCGATCACCTCGCTGGCTTAGAGAGCCTACGGTCTCCATTGTTCGTATCATCTCATAGTTCTGTATCAAGCTACTGACATCTGTCAGTGTGTACTGCTCGGCTGCCACCCGAGAGATTCTCCTCCGTCTCGAGCGCTACCCTTGTCGGATCAACTATGCCAAGGGCCTCTTGGAAGCCAGGCAACAGACCTACAAGCATCTTGGCAAGGTCCTGGTATGTGTCCCTGCCGTGATTACGTGCTACCCCTGACCACCTTTAGAAACCGCTGCCTCTGGAAACACCGACGACTATCGAGCTCCGTCCTGGCTGCGAGATTCAGGTGACCCTGTTTGACGCCAACCATTGCCCCGGGGCTGTGATGTTTTGTGAGACCATCCTAGTTGATGACTGCATACATGCCTTGCTCACTGTCCATTGCAGTAATTGAGAACGACACCAAAGCCATTCTTTACACAGGCGACATCCGAAGCGAACCATGGTTTGTCAACACCATGTCCCGGAACCCCAACCTTGTCGAGTACACCTCGGGTCTCAAGACACTAGACAAGATCTATCTAGATACGTCCTTCACTGAAGATGTGCCCTTCCAGACCAAGGCTCAAGGTATCGCCGAGTTGTTACGAAAGGTAGCCAAGTACCCTAGCGACACTGTCTTTCACTTCCAAGCATGGACGTACGGGTACGAAGACGTTTGGGTAGCTCTATCCAAGGCTCTCAAGTCCCAGGTAACTTGGCCCATTGCGTGTGGCTATTTACGCGTTATTAACATTGTAGGTACATGTCGACGACTACAAGCTCCGCATCTATGGATCCCTCAAGTCGCGACCATCTGAAGCACGCTTCAGTTCAGACGTCCACCTTACCCCCGAATCGCCAGCCTTGACAGGCCACATGTGTGGCAACACTCCACATCAAGGGTGTCTAACACCTAACGAGAATGTTCGTCTGCACAGTTGCGAGAAGGGAGCGATGTGTGAGGTGGCACGAAGGCCGTCTACAGTTACCATTCAACCCATCATCGCCCACCTTCCCACTGGACAGCATCTAGCTGAAGTTGGCGTCGGAGGAGGTGGCGATGACCTGCAACGGGAGGCAGAGCTAGATTTTCTGGACCAAGCCAGCTTAACTACTTTGGTCAACCTGTTCGTCGATGTCCCTCCATTTTGAGCCAGATCTGACCAAGTCCAGCGTCCTTTCGTCCGATATGCTACTGCCGACAGAGACCATTCAAGCATTGAAGGAGGTCTTGACACAGGCCGTCTCGACCGGCAGAAATATCCCGCTTGACTGGGATATCACGTCTTTGGACAACCATTCAGTACAGGAGATTGTCCAGATGCTTGCAGAAAGACTGGTGAACAGTTCCAAGAAAGCTGTCGCTGAGGAAGTAACAGGCCAAGCTGAGCTACCCAAAACGATACATTTCCCGTACTCCAGACATTCTTCGTATCCAGAGCTTTGTCATTTCGTCGAGACATTTCGACCCAAGGACGTTTGGCCATGTACTGTCAGTCCCACGGAATGGATGAGAAATGGTAATGGACTCTAGACACTCATAGAGCGACGCTGACATCGATACCCAGGAACCTCGATTGCATCTCTCTTTGGACGCTTTTGCTCCGGAGATGAATTCGCCCATGATGTTACCATGCAGTCCGTTGCTGAGAGATTTGCGGTAAACAATCCACATCAACAGCACGACAGTCAGACCACGGCCAATTCTCCTCCATCAGGCTCGCCGGTCGGTGAGGCGCAAGCGATTCACCAACGTGACAGAATTCGAGGCACACCTCAAAGCCCCAGTCGTCACTCGGACACCACTCCCGTCAAGTTTGTGAGCCCGAGCATGGGTACCCAGGATACCATTTATGTGGCGGCTGAGCCCGAGCATCAGTCCCAGGCATCGCGAGCGTCAAAGCCTTTGTCGGAAGACACTCAAGATCCTTGGTATGGCCCTGAATCAACTCCAGCCCCAGAGGCAGGAGACCAATCGCAGGTTCGCGAAGCTTCCTCGTCAGCAAGCGCGCCCGAAGATGGCTTGACCGAACCGAAGATTGTTTCCCCCAAGCGGAAGAGGAGTTTTGGTGACATTTCGGGCGGCGACAATGAAGAGTCTGGGCCCAGTCAGGCCGGAGAGTCGTTCAGCTCGGCCATGTCGGAGGAACCATCTCTGGCTCGTCAAGAGGCATACCAACGAATGGTGCAGAACTTGACTACAGATGATTGGGACTTAGTACCACTGATATCGACGAGCAACGAGTATACGACCATGGATCAGGAGCTCTGATGGTAGCCTGGACAGGATTCTTCAGTAGGGTAACTCATGACGGGCGTTTAGGCGACTACAGCGAATGCCATTCGGTTTGAGTCCGCCTACGTCAATGCGAGTGCCTCGGCAATCCTTGCCTTGGGCCATTGAAGCAACTCTTGGAACTTTGGCTGACCAATCAACCCTTCCTCTATCTTGACCATTGTCTGTCGGGCCCAACCCCTCACGTACCAAAAGCTTCTCTCGAGGGCTGCCATATGGACGAGGAAGTGGGCAAAGAGAAGGAGTGCGTGAGGCCTTTGGGCATCAAGGTCGATAAAGATACTGTCATCAATGGTATACAGCCAGAAGAGGGAGGCTCCTGCTTCTGCATACAAGCCAGCAAAGGCGAAAAGCTTTGCAGAAATTTCCAATTGCCCGACGGCGTGTGTGTAATGGCTGACGCCGCCCGAGGGGATATCGGCCTCTTGAAAATCGCGAAGTCTTTTAAGGGCGTCCCAGGTATCTGTTGGCAGAAGGGAATTGTCGAGAGACGGGCAGCTGGCAGTTGTTAACTCGGCTGATCAACTAATTGGGAGACATACTTACGGTTCTGACTTTTCATCAGACTCGAGAAGCCAGACACCATAGACAACTGGAGCAAACTCTGTCCTCACAACTCGAGATATGATCGGCTGCAGTGTGGTCTTGATGCCTCTCAGGAGGCTGGCGAGTTCAAGAAGATTCGTGAGGGGAGACTCGAGTGTGTGGTTCTCCATGCGTGTTGGGAGAGTCAGCATGTGCAGGACCACGACAGAGGCAAAGCCAAATACAGGCATCCAATTTGACAAGTCAAATGTCTGTAGTTGATGGCGATAACCCTCGGAGCCAAGTGTTTGATGATAGTCGGCCAGGGGTAGGTATATCCTCCGACTGGAGGGGATGAGATAGGCTTTCTGGGCAGCAGCAATGGCAAGTATTCCATGCATGACAAAGGGACTCTGATAGCCTAACCGGGGAATAGCGACGTTCCAGACATGTATCATGTCCTCACGGATGGATAGTGTGCTGGAGGTGACGGTGCAGTAGTGGTGCATGAGCTCGCAGTCACGGGCCCAGAGTTCCTGTGGAGGGAATGGAGCCATCTGATCTGAAGGACTGGGATGGCTCAGGTTGACAAAGATGGAGGGATCTGCAGGGCTCCCGATGGATCCTGGGGTTGAAGGCGTCAAGTTTGGGAGGTGAGGTGAGTGTACACTGCGACCGAGATGGATTGGAGATTCGGCGGAAATACTAGAACTCGACAGGCTACAGGGAACGCCATGTCTTTTGCAATGGAAGCATGAAGGACGAGCTTCATCACACTATGAGTCGTCAACATCAGGTCTCGGCGGCAGCCCCGGGTTTACTCTTGAAGGCTCAGACTTGGCAAGCAATACAATGGAGAAATGCCAAAGGTGGGATACGATGCAGTTACATACCTTTACTTTACGGCGCTTACAGTTTATGCAGCCGGTTCTTGACTTGGTGTGAGTTCTTCGGCTCGACATGATTCGGTTTCTATCCGCGGGTTCGCACAGAACAAGCAAGAAAGCGAACCAAGAGAAAGATGTAGACGAAGTAAAGAGAAGAGGGTGAGCAGGAATGGATGAATAATACCCGACTTACGAGGATCTTGACATGCTCGTGTTGTGTCAAGTGGAGGAATGCGAAGGGGGACGCGAACCCGAAGCGAATACTCGGGAGGACATGCTCGGACCGCGTACTCGGATGCGCTAGACTTCTTAAGGGAAAGATGATTTGAGTGAATCCTTGCGATTGGGGAATAAGATGGAGCTAGAGGATGAGTTGCAGGGTTTGGAGGTTGATGATGCCCCACCGCTGAGGCTGCGCAGGATGAGAGCAGAAGCGTGGATGATGTGGTTACTGTAAAAAGAATGTGAAAGGGATGCGCGGGAAATTCTTGTTTCCCGACAGATACGAGTAATAGACGCGTAGGTGGATCTTGGCGGATGTTGACCATAAAGAGAACGAGGTGCCCATGGAGGATGGATCTGGGGTCAACTTCTAACCTTTTCTTTTGGGGTGTTTATCGAGGCCTTCCTCTGTCAATTCAGCAGCAATCGACAGCATGGATTGCAACCCCGACTACAAAGATGCCGTTTGGGCGTTTTACCGATTCGAGCCTTCAGTAGAGGCCAATATCGTTTTTGTTGTTCTTTTCTCCGTGTCGACGCTTCTACACATCTTTCAGATTTTCAGGACGAGAACATGGTATTTGACAGCGTTGGTGGCGGGCGGATGCGGTACGTCTAAACATGACTCTACACCATGGAGGTATACTGACATGCATCACAGCTGAGATTATCGGATACATCGGTCGAGTTTTAAACGCCAAGGAAGATCCAGGATGTTGGACAATGGGGCCATACATTATGCAAAACGTCTTGATCTTGATTGCGCCTGCACTCATGGCTGCATCCATCTACATGATTTTAGGCAGAATCATTCTCTTGACAGAGGGTGAACACCATGCGTTGATTCGAAGACGTTGGTTGACCAAGATTTTTGTGTTTGGCGATGTTGCTTCTCTACTGCTTCAATCATCAGGTGCGTTCATTACCATGGAGGATTGAAGATGGGGCTAATTTGTGTTTAGGTGGTGGTTTAATGGCAGTCAATGAAGATTTACAAAAGATTGGTCAAAATGTCATCATTGGAGGTCTTTTTATTCAACTCTTATTTTTCGGCTGCTTCATCGTAACAGCCGGCATCTTTCACCGACGAATGCGTCTCGCCCCGACACCAAAATCCCTCGAGCCAACGATCCGATGGCAAACATACCTGATTACTCTCTACGTAACGGGAGTCCTAATCTGGATTCGAAGCTTATTCCGTGTTATCGAGTTTATTGAAGGAAACGATGGACATTTGATGAGAAGTGAGGTATGGGTTTTTGTGTTTGATGGATTGTTAATGTTGATTGTCTTGGTTTGGATGAATTGGTTTCATCCGGGTGAGATTGGGTTGTTGCTTAGAGGGGATGCACCGATTAGGAATGGGTTGGAGTTGGTTAAAGTTGGGGGGAGGAAGAAGAGGGCTGGTACTATGGAGAGTTTGGAGAGTGATCAGAATGTTTGAGGCATGGTTATTAGAGAGTGATTCTCAGGCTTGTTCTTTTGTCATGGGGATGGGGAGATGGGTTATGGCCAAGTATTAGATATGGGCAAGTTATTCCAGGGCTACGAGTAGATATAGTCACTTGTTACAATAAAACGATAATAGACAACTCTCTAGACACAGCCTGTCTCATCATCTTATCTTTATCAGTGTTTGTTTGAGAAGAGACCAACCCCACTGAATACACTTTAGCCTCCCCTGCCTCACATCAAATCGTTAGCGGGGACAAGCCTCAACGGGCGCTTGGAATTGTCAGCAGTCGTCATTGTTACTCGTCTGAGACGTCTCATGTTTCTCATTCCGTCTCCTAAATACCGAGTAAGCCGGCTGCTTATTACCTCTGTCTCCGCCATGTCATCTTTTGCATTCAACTTGTTTCTGTAAATAATTTTTGTAACAATATGGAGATTGACATTTCTCGTCTTTTTCTTTACGCCGTGGTATTCCTCGTCGTATCATTTATAATAGATGCATTATGTCAACCAAAATATCCAACAGAAATACCAGTTCTTGGATCTAAAGGATGGTTTTCTAAAATTCGCAATAGTTTTGCCTATTTTACAAAACATCAATCATGGATTGATCAAGGCTACCAAAAAGTACCCTCTCCCCATTCCTCCATTGTGAATTGACAGCTGACTTGAGTAGTATGGCAAAAATGGCCTTGCTTTCATCGCCCCAGCCCCAATCTCTCGTCCTCCAGATGTCATCCTTCCAAGATCGCAAATTCCATGGATGATGGATCAACCCGACCACATCCTCTCAGCTGTTAAAGCACACGATCAAATCCTCTACACGGAATACAATTTTCTCGGAAACCATCTATCTCACGAACCTTTTGCAAGTCGAGTCGTGCATAAATATTTAGCTCGACATTTACCTTCCCTCATAAAACCCATTGAAGAAGAAGTCAACGCCGCAGTTGAGGATTCTTTAAAGTTGAAACAGGATGGATACACGAAAGTCAACCTTTGGGAATTGTGGATGGCTATTGTTCCTCGTGTAACGAATCGGTTACTTGTTGGGGAAGAAACATGTCGCGATGACGTTTTTCTCCAATCAATGATTCGTTTCACAGATGATGTTGTGAGGAATAGCTTCCTTCTTCACGCTTTTCCCAAGATTTTACATCCGATTGTTGGTCGTCTACTCACTATTCCTAATTATCTACATTGGCGCGCTGCATCACGTCGTGTACTCCCGATTATCCAACAACGTCTGGAAAACATGCGACGCAAAGATGCAGGCGAGCTAAAAGATTGGACTCCGCCAGAGGATTTTATCACCTGGGATATACGACTCGCAATGGCTGAAGGCAAACCGTTTGAGCTGGATCCAGTGGTTATCTCGAAGCGATTACTCCCCATCAACTTTGCAGCAATCCACACGACTGTTTTAACAGGCCACTCATGGATGCTAGACATGCTCTCCTCACCACCATCAGAAAACATCCTCGAGACTCTCCTCTCGGAAATAAACACGCACAAACCGACAACAGGGTGGACAAAACAATCCCTAACCTCCCTCCTCCGTGTCGACTCTTCAATTCGCGAATCCCAACGTTTAAGCAATTTCGCGGCAAACCTCATCGAACGACAAGTTGTTTCTCCTACAGGTCTGCATAATCCAGAGTACGGATGGACGTTGCCGAAAGGTGCGTTTGTGACGGTTAATTTACAGGGGACGCATCATGATGAGGATATTTATGAGGGTGCCATGAGTTATGATCCTTGGAGATACTCAAGAGTTAGAGAGGCGTGGGAAGGAAAGAGTGAAGAGGAGAGGAAGGATGAGGATGGAGTGAAAGTGAGAGGGTTGGGGATGGTTACGACGAGTGATGCACATCTCGCGTTTGGCCACGGACGACACGCATGGTAAGTACATCTCCCAGTAAACCTCATCAAACTAACAATTATCTAGTCCTGGGCGTTTCTTTGTCGCTCATGAACTAAAGCTCATAATGGCCGCTTTCCTCCTCAACTACGACATCAAAATGATTGATCAACGACCCAAACCACAATGGATGGGAGCAACAATAATCCCACCCCTCGACGCATGCATAGAGATTCGACGAAAGAGCAAGTCATGAAATAAAACTGCTTTTAAGATACTGGCCTGCCTGTCTATTCAAACCCCAATCCATCCATGCCTCCGAGAAACACTCCCCCCTTCTCGCCCTCTCTCAGCAGGGCACCTACGTCTACTCTACCACCTGTAATGTATCGCTCGCTCACGCCCAGGTTCACTCTTCGTGAGAGCTCCTCTCTCAACTGCGCCCGGAGAGCACCCATCTCGGCCTTTGTCAAGCCCTTGGCAGCCTGCTCCTTTCTCCGACGACCTCCTCCACGTCCGCCTCGACCTCCACCAGATGCGTTGACGGCATCCAGATCGTCAGAGTCATACTCGACTCCAAGCTCATCAGCCGCATTGCGCAGCCAAGTATCATCGCTGTGAGCCTTTTCCTTGGCGAGTACAGAATCCGCGATCTTCTTAGCCAAATCTACCCGAGGCTTAAGTCGCGACGCCATCTTGCGATCCACAGGAAGCGTCTGGATAAAATGCTCCCTCTTGGCACCCGAGCTACGCTCCGCATGAACCTTGCTCGCAAGTCTTCTCGTCGGCAAAACCTCGTCAGGCGCACAAAGAATAACACTGACACCACTCGACTCGCCACGCGCCGTACGACCCGAGCGATGAATATACGTATCTGCCGATCGTGGCACATGGTAGTGCAGAACTTGATCAACCTCCTTGATATCAAGACCACGAGCCGCGACATCGGTGGCGATGAGGACAGAGTTTCGCGCAGCTGTGAAACGCTCTAGGGAACGAAGACGGGCCTTTTGCGCCATCTGCGAGTGAAGGGGTAGAGCCGTCATATTGAGGTTCGAAAGAAGAGGTGTAAGACGACGAACAGCCGAGATGGAATTGGTAAAGACGAGGGTTCGTCGTCCGGGGTTAAGAATGAGAACAGTGTAAAGATAAAGATCCTAAAAAGTTAGCATCGTCCTCCATCTTGTAGTGTAAGAACTCACCTTCTCCATGGCGCCACACTCAATGAGTCCCTCCTTCAGACCATCCGCCATTTGACTGACAGGGTTGACGTCGATAAACTTGGGTTCACCTCTGAACTTGAGGCACTTCATCAGATATGCCATCTTCTCCTCGTCGTTTCCAGTAGATTTGCCCTTGCCTGCCAGCTTGGTCTGCAGGTCCTTGTCGAATGTGGCCGAGAAGACGAGCGTCTGTCGAGCACTCCTCTCATCATCCTCCTCTTCATCATCTTCCTCATCAGAGCTGTCGGCATCATCGCTAGGTCTCTTTCCATCGAGAGCACCGATGATATCTTCGGCCTCCTTGAACTGTCCAACCTTGAACAGTCTATCCGCCTCATCAACAACCAGAAACCTGATCTTGGAAAAGGTGTTTTGCAGAGTCGCATCTCCGCTGAGAACCTCCCACAGACGTCCCGGTGTTCCAATAACGATATCCGCCTTTTCCAGTTGTCGCTGCTGCTTCTGGATACTCAATCCACCGGTGACAACACACACATATGGCGCATTCGACAAGCCATCGCAAAGCGCCTTGAGATGATCGCCCAACTGCTTTGCCAACTCTCTTGTCGGACTAAGAACCACAGACATAGGTCCAGTCCTCTCAACACCCTGCTCATACAACTCCAACCACTTCTCAACCATAGGAATACCAAAAGCCAACGTCTTTCCTGAACCAGTCTGCGCCTTGCCAATAACGTCCTCGCCCGACACAATCTCAGGAATAGTCTTTTCCTGAATTAGTGTCGGCTTGGTAAACCCAAGCTTGGCAATAGCGGAAAGAATCTGCGGCGAGAGGTTCAGCGGAACCCAGGCCGCCACGTCGACGTCTTCTTCTTGGTCTTGGTCATCGGCCAGCGCGTCAAACGTGTTGCCCCCCCGTGAAGAGGACTTTTGTACGACTTTCTGGGTCTTGACCAGCTGCTCGTCTTCTTTTTTGCTGGCATCCAACTTGCGCTGCTGCTTTTTGTTCTTCTTGCTGGTTTTTTCTTCTTTTGTCGTAGTCTTTGCTTCAGACTTCTCGCCCTCCAGGCCAGCTTCACCACTGCCAGCTTTGCCGGAATCGATATTCCCGACCTCCACAGGGTCGTCGCCAAACCCTTCAAAAGATTCGTCCGCATGTTCGTTGTCGTTGTCGTTATCGTCGTCGTTGGTTATCGTGTTCGTCTCGCCGGCCACCAGGAATTGCACCCGACTCCCATCCTTGACCACGTCGACGCCCTCAATCACCTCGAGACCGCCGAAATCTTCGCCGACAGACTTCCAAGCAAGAGCGGATGCGTCAACAGCGCGACGCGACGCCTTGTTTGTCTTCTTCTTGGAGTTGGAGATGTTCTTGGATCGCTTCGGGGCGGGGCCGGTCGCGGGAAGCTTGCGCTTCTTTGCCGGGGGGACCATCGGATGATCCAGAGATCGCCTATTATCAAGGCGCTCCTTCTTTTTGTTGCTGGCCGGTTACTCCTGCTGTCGAGACTCGGTTCCACGGCGGAAGCTTCAAGTTGTGCTTGTGATGGAGTAGAAGGTCAATCTGTAAAAACTGCCCCGGTTTATTTTTCCGACTTTTTTTTCGTCGGCAAATATTCTCGCCGATCACCGACAACGACCAAGCATAAAGCATTCTCGTCTGGCACTTCCTCTTCCAAGAGCCGTCATGGCAAATGTTTTGCTTGTACTGTATTAACGGCTAAATAGGCGTTCCCAATTCAGAAGTTCAAAGATATTGTAAAGATAGACTAGTCAAAAAAGCCCTGAACCCCTCGTACATCCCTCCTTGAGACAAACAAGTAGTCACGTCGCGGACTTTCAGCCGCGGTTTGATGATCCGAATCCCGGCCGTCAAGAACCATCCAAAACTCGGAACGAACTCCATAAACCCTCAAGGGGGTTGACCTCTCCCTCTTGTTCCCCTATTAGGGCTGTCGGGCCGTCGGGCTGTCGGGCCAATACTTGTTGAAGAACTGGATCGTCTGTGTCTTGGTCGGGGTGGTGTAGACGGACGTGCCTACAATGTCAAATACTGTTAGTTTCGAGCTCTCACCAGGTTCTCGGTCGGTGGCCTTACTGCTGCAGGTCAACTGGCATTGGATGCTTGTGGTCTCTATCAGGGCAAAATGGGCAGAAATAACCAGCTAAATAATGCGCCAGATCATGGAGAATCATCTCATCCCTTCTTATAAATCCCCTCCCTCCTCTGCCTCTTCGACACCCTTCCACGGGGCAATAATGCAACCTTGCCGAGGAATGTGCATTGGTGTGAGAGTTGAGAAGCCACTGAGTTCGAAAAGGCGGAGCTGTGCACCCCTCAAAGGTGCACCTATATCCGCCTTCGATAGGCGGGGGGTTGGTGGTGCCTTCAATTCTCATGCGAGTGATTTCGCTATCGCCAACGTCCGCAGCCATCGACCTCGAACTCTCGCCGCCCGGTGAGACGGATGACGTTGGAGAGCTGGGCGTCATGGCGGCGAGCGAATCTTGAATGCTAGGGGAGGCACGCATTTGTCTTGCGGTTTCAAAAGCTTCAATCTTCCTGTCTTCCACATATTGCCGCTGATCTCTGAGAGTGCCGGAAAGTTTCGCGATTCTGGCTCGCTCACGCTCCCGTCGAGCATTCTCTTGTTGGTCAAGGTCATCTTGGGATGGAACGCTGCCAGTCCCCTCTTCTGAGATGCAATCAGCTCCGAGCCAGTATGAACTCACTCAGTCCCCAAACTTACCGGGGCGACGTAATAGTTTGCAGCCAAATATTCTTCTCAATTTGTTCCATATATCCACAGTGCGCAGCTCCCGGCCTCCGATGTGACGAATGATGCTGAGTTCGGACTCTCCCAGTCGGGGGATGCTGGGAATGAGCGACTCGCTGTGCAGATTAAAGACATCCAGGATTTCAACTGTGTCTTGGCCAACAAGGATGTCCGCGTTAAGGTTGTCCAGAACGAAGAGCTCAAGGTCAATTGATTCCCCACGTGGATAAAATCCCCGGCAGCTTGCTTTTCCCACGGCAAGCGAAGCCCTGATAACACCAAAGATGTAGCCTACGCTGCAGTCTGCAAATTCGACTTGCTCGTACGCAGGCTCGATATTGTAAGCTCCGGACTTGGCAAATTCGGGGCTGACGAGATCCAAGTCTGATCCGGTATCAACGGTAGCAAAGCCCACATGGTCGTCAAGTCGACAAACCAAACTCCTCTTGGGTCTTCCTACGCTATTCACTCTCAGTGACTGCATGGCTGGGCCCGGCAGTTCGACGAGCCGATCTTTGTGAATGCTCAGGGTCTCTGTCTGCTGTAAAAAGTCGATACCCATGATCAAAGGAACGGCCAAGGTGTTGAAAACATGGAAGATACACTCAAGACTCGCGGTTGCTGAAGGGGCCCCAGTGGCAAAGCTGCACCTGGTAGAGACCTGCCCGACTGCTGTGACAATCTTCCCGTTTGCGACTGCGAATTGTCTCGGATCATCGGAGCTGGTCTGCTCTATCTTGAGTCCCAAGGTATTCGCCAAATCGAGAGATATAATGTTCTCATCCGAACCGCTGTCCGGACACGCCATGATCTCTTCGGATATTCCTGAGGGATGATCCATAAGGAGAGGGAGACCAAAGCGTTTTCTCACCCTTCTTGGTCGAGAAGTTTTACGAGCCTGCGGCGCGCCCAAGGTAGATTGCCTCCTTGATCGAGGAGGTTCAGGATACTCCAGCGCTTCCAATTCAGCCTGGAGATCATCCTTCGGAGGTGGTCCGCGATTTAGGGATTCAGTCTTGTCTCGGTCGCCCAGATCGTTGAGTGGCGAAGCCATTCGTGCCACTTCAGCTGCCGCATCCCAAGAAGGCCTTGGATTCTTCAAGGGCACATAAATCGTGTCTACCCAACCTGCTATATCTCGGTTCTTTTCGGTCAGGCTCAGCTGTGTATTGTCATCCCATGCATGGGATAGGTTTCGATCTCGAGCGGCTGGGTTCCAGGACGCTTCCTGCAAGAAGTCTTGAATCAGTGCTCTGGAACTTGAAGACATGTACAACTAGAAATGTAACAAGACACCTACGCTATTCGTGATATCCTCGAAGCCCATTCCATCGTCGCTTCCCCAGTTCAGCGACTCCGGCTGCGCTGGCACAAGCAGCGGCGATGCGAGGCCCACGAACTCGTCTGGGCCATAGTCCCCCATCGAGGTTCAAGGTCTTGGAGCCCTATCAATGTTCGGCTTGTTGTAAGACGAGGTTGAGTTGGAGGAACCGGTGGAACTTGGTCAAAACGCTGCGGCCGTAGCCTCAGAGCAACTCAACAGAAAGAATACAGCAGTAACGCAGCTGAAGGAACCGGTGGAACACTGGGGTAATAAACCATCGCCCGACAACTAAGCCACCCTGACAGTGTCGGTGAGGCCAAAGCCGAGCTGCGAAAGATTTTCACTCTTTGCCAATCAGGCGCTTGGATGCGGTAAGGCTCCTCGCTGGGCGTACTGGGCTCTGCGGACATGCATGAGTGCACGTGAGGGTTGATGTTCAGCGCAGCCTGATTCTCAGCACCAATGCTGAGCAGCCCGCCGTGACTGTGCCGGAGAACAATAAAATATCCTTTAAGCTACCCAAAAAGGCAAACACCAGTCCTCCCCGAATATCTGGTTCCGTCATCAGAGAGAAACACACAAGTTTCGAAACACCAGAGAGCCCACTTCTCCTCTAGCAAAGTGACGCCCACTGCAACTTATCTCGACTTTGGGGTATATAGGGGCTTGTACTTACAGAGACATGGAAGCGCAAAGGCGAATACGTTATGTAGATGGGTTTCCATCTCTGGCCAACTTCATCGCAAGTGATAGAGATGGAACATCGACGATATTCAAGAGATTCAACCGTTTAGCAGCAAGAAACTTGCTCTTACTGCAAAGCGAACTAGCAGAGCTAGAAGCAAGACTCGACGAATATGATCGCGAAGACAGTGACAGGGGTATGGAGGTCCTGCAGTCCCTGAGAAACTGGGAGGAATACAAGGCAAGGAACGATAAGGAGTCGGATCGAATGAAGTTACTAGACAAGATCAAAATAACTCTAAAGGATTACAGTAGGAGATCTAACCTTAGCCCCGGATGAATGCTCATTACTTATGCAGGAGAAGCCATGATATTCGAGAGCACCCTCGCAACAATACCGCCCCCAGATAGAAAGACGCTCAAGGCATTTCGCAACAATTTTTTCCACAAAGGACCTGAAAGGGCCGAGGGCTGGCCGATGCTTGGCGGGCATAGTTCCAGTCTGTACGATGATCCCGATGACTTGGTCGTTCTACACACGGCGGAACCCCCAGACAGATTGACCATGTTTGTCCAGGACTATTTTGGCTTCATGTTCAAGGTAGGTACTTCCCCATGGTTATTTCCACTGTTCCAGGCTCACAAGCAACGATAGGACAAAGATCATCACAAGGCTACTTCAAGCTCTTCGGTAGGCTATGCGTCAGGCAAGAGGATCTCAGCCTTCATCTCATACCTCAGCACCATATTAGCAGCATTACTACTAATCGGCGCCATTGTTGTTCTGTACAATATAAAGACGGACAACTTGAAGCTGGGCTTGATCGCTCTCTTCACCATCATCTTTGCAGCTAGCGTTGGGTTACTGACCAACGCGAGGCGAGCAGAAGTGTTTGGGGCTACGGCGGCGTAAGTGAACAGACTTACCACAGAGTGTTTTCTTGCTAACCGTCTTAGATATGCTGCTGTACTAGTTGTGTTTGTGAGCGGAGATCTTGGAAGCTAGAATTCGTCAAGCCACCTGGGAGGAAACTGGATGGAAGAATAACAGGCCTTGGCCGACTTCAAGGATATCACACGACGCCTCGACGACCACGGATTCAACACAGCACATAGAAGAGTCAAGCAGTTGTATGAATGCAAGCATACTACCCCAAAACAAGGGACATCTCCATTTATCTTAACCCCCATAAGCATTAGATACATGAACAAAACAACCCCATCTCTCCACGATCTTGTCTTTGTAGCCATAACCCTTCATATCAATAAAAATAAGGAAATTGTCTTTTTGTTGTCCGTAGAGGAGCCCCAGTGGTAAAAAAGATACAATGCTTTCTGTAACATCCTTTGCAAACCATGCCTCATCCCAAACCCGTCTGCCTGCATTCAATGTCAAATCGCGATACATGGATGCGTATTTTCTTTGTTGTACATGCCAACTCCCATTACTCGTCCCGTCTTCAATGCGCCCCGCGAGCTCGCTTGGCTCCTCCTCCAACCTCTGAATCACCTCTTGGTCGCTTGTTTCCAGGTTGGAAATCATTGGCAACAGGGTTCAGTCCACCTCGTCCTCCTCCACGTCCTCCACGTCCTCCACGACCACCGCGTCCACCACCGTCTTCACCACCACCAGCCGCTCGTCCAGCTGGGTGCGTGTAGGTACCACCTCTGCCACCACGGCCACCGCCGCGAGGCATGGGAAGTCCAGTCCTGACTGGCTGTGGGAGCGCTGACTGCTGAGCTTGCTGAGGAGTTTGCTGAGGTGGTGCCGCAGGTAGTCCTTCCTTACCGGCCGCTGCGCCTTCAGTCTTGGGGGCGAATGGGTTCGGAATATCGGTACCGGCAGCATTACCGGCAGCAAACGGATTGCTTGTCTTGGGTGCAGGAATTCCGCTTGTTACTGGCTGAGCAGCTGGTGCCGGCTTTGCTCCAGCTGGTGTCGCCGCCGGGGCCTGGGCTGGAGTCCCTTGAGCAGGAGCAGGTGTTGCAGGTGCTGGAGATGGAGGAACACTGGCGATCGAAGCACGAGCAGCAGTCGCCTTTGCGGCAGCCGGGGGAGGCGGTGCCTGTGCCGTCTTGGCCACTTCCCAAACCTCAACAACAGGCTTCTGCGGTGTCTCGGACGCTGCCTTCTCAACAACTCCGATCTTGGCGTTCGCAGATCTGAGCTTGTTTTCCGCCATGTTAATGCGCAACGTTGACTTCTTAGACTCCATCAGCTGGGCCTGTTCCCTGGCCGACGTGATCTTCGATTCATATTCGTTCTTGATCGTCGACTCCAGCTCAGTCTTCAGCTTGGTGCTCTCCACCTCCAGCTTCTTCTTGATGTTAGCCGCAACAATGTTCTTGACTGTTGGGTTGGTCGAGAGGAACTGTCGGATACCAGCATCGTCCAATTGAGACAGATCGGCCGGACCAACAGATGCGGGTGTCGCTGGGATAGCCGAAGCTTCAGCCTTAGCTGGTGTTGACGGGGGCTGTTCGGTAGGCTCCGTCTTTGGTGCATCTGCAGGCTTCGTGGTAGCATTCTCAGCCAGCCAGATTTGCTTCTCTTGCTCAAACTTGAGCTTGAGATCCTCGTCCTTCTTCTTGTACTCCTCCTCCATACGAGCTCGGCTTTCCCTAAGTTTAGCGTTGAGAGTATCCCGCATTCGGTCGGAACGCTCCTTGATCGTGCTCTGGATTTTAGCCTCCACCTCATTCGCCTTGTGCTCAAACTCGGCCGCCTTGGCTTCAGCAGCCGTGACCTTCTCCTCCAAAGCCTTCTTCTCCTCGTCAGAGATGCCGTTGGTAGGTTGTGCAGGGGCGTCGCCAGCCTGGAGAGCAGCTTGAGGTGTCTCTGGTACACCAGTTGCAGTCTTTGCGGCCTCGGTTGCTTCCTGCAGCTTCTTGGTGGCCTCGTCCCGCTCAGAGACAGCGGTTCGCAGCTCGTCGCGGAGTGTCTCAAGTTGCTGCTCGGCTCCTTGCTTCTGGCTGTTGATGGCCTCAAGTTTCTTGCGGGCATCGGCCAGCTGCTGCTCAAGCTGCGACACAATCTCTGAAGAAACAGAACCCTCGGCTGGCTGAGCGGGTGTGGGCGCTGACTGGGCAGACTGCGCTTGTTGTCGTAGTTGCTCCACCTCCTTCTGGAAGTTTTGGATCTGGCGCTCCAGCTCAGTCTTCTGGTTACCAAACTCCTCGGCCTGCTTCTTGACACCTTCAAGCTCGCCGTTGGCCTTGTCCAAGTTCTCCTGAAGATGGTTGGCGCGCTGGATGGCCTCATTCTTCTCACCAGTAAGCTTCCTTGATCGCTCCTTAGCTTGCTCCACGATCTTGCCGCGAGTGGTACTCCAGTTGTTGCGCTCTGTCTCAAGAGTGCTCTCGAGGTCGGCTACCTTGGCCTTGAGGGGCTCCTCACCCTGCTTCAAGGCGTCTCGTTCCGTCTCCAGATTGGTGATCTTCTCCTTAAGTTGCTCCATCTCAGCAGGGTCGACTCGTCCATACTTGGTCAGAATGCCCTCAGTGCGCTTCTGCCATCGGTCGCGATCCTCTTGGATTTGCTTAATCTCATCCTCGAGGAAGGACTTTTGTGTCTTGAGCGTGTCGATTTCCGCCTCGAGTGGCTGAATTCGTGCCTCCATCTCTTCAATCTTGATGTTCTTTTCCGTGATCTGATCCTTCAGTTGCTGGTTCTCGTTTCGGAGAGTCATGCTGCTCTCGCGGTAGAGGTTAAGCTCGTTCAACTTCTCCATGAGATCCTGGTGTGTCATCGACGTCCGGCCACTCTGGGCAGCCTGGGTGCGTTCCTGGTCGAGCTTGAGGCGCGCCTCGTCAAGCTGAGATTGAGTGTACTCGAGTTGCTGTTGCAGACGCTTGGACTCCTGGGCCTTGAGGTCGTACTGAACCTCGAGAATCTCCTTCTCGCGTCGAAGGTAGCTGTTGAGTTCACGGAGACCCTCAGTCGCATCTCCGATAGGAACGGGCGACATTCTCTCATCCTCGTTTTCGTCATTCTCGTTACGCCTCTGCTGAAGGGCTGCAACCTGCGAAGTCAAGGCCTCCAACTGCTGGTGAAGGATCTTGTTCTGCGAGTTGACATCCTCCCGTCGTGTCTTAAGCTCAGCCATCTCCTGCTCCAGCTGCTGTCGGCGATCCTCCCATGAGCTTTCGCTCTGCGCCAGAGTAACCTTGGCAGACTCTGCCTCAGATCTCAGGGAAGCTGCTTCACTCTTGAGTTCGTTGTGCTCGGCTCGCAGTTGTTGAACGAGCTTGGCAGCCTCGGCATGCTTCACGAGCTCTTGCTCGTAATCCTGTTGGGCCTTTGAGGCAATCTCAGCCTGGGAACGGAGATCTTGCTGATGATATCGAGTAGCCTCCAAGTGTCGCGCGCTCTCCTCCTTGAGTCGGTTCACCTCTTCGTGCAAGATGGCCTTCTCATCCTCGTACCTTCTCGCAACCTCGCCCTGAGAATCCCGTAGGCTCGACAGCTCAGTGTTGGATCGAGACAACTCAGCAGACACGTCCTCAAGTCGTTGGCCGAGCTCCTTGACCTTGGAATCCTTCTCTTCAATAAGTGCCTCCATCTCTTGCTGATACTGACCCTGAGATGCTCGCAGATCCTCCAGTGCCTCCTCGTTGGCCTGGCTGAGCTCCTTGAACTGCTCAGCTTGTGCCTTGGCGTTCTCAAGGTGGGTGTTGGCCATGTCCAAGTCTCGCTTAAGGTCGGAAATCTCAACGTTAAGCTCCTGGATCTCAGCCTCAAGCTGCTGCTGCTGTTCGCTGAGTTCGATCGTGCCGGGTCTTGGCGTAGGTCGGGGCTGGAGACGTCCAGCACGCTCTTCGGCATTCCTCAGTTCAACAGAGAGCTCATCGACACGAGCCTGAAGATGGTCTCGGCTGGTCTTAACAGCGACATGCTCCTCCCGGATTTGGCTGAGGCTCGCCATGAGCTCGTCGATTCGCTTCTGGGCCTCCTTGGCCTCGAACTCCTTCCGAAGCTGCAGCTTCTTGGTCTCCTCTGCCTCATAAGACAGCTTCCTCTGGGTATCACTCAGTTCCTGTTCCAGACTCTCGATCCTGGCCTGGGTCTTGCGTCGTGTCTCGGATTCGGTCCTATTACGCTCGTTCTCGAGAGATTGCTGTGTCGCAAGGAGGTTGTTGAGTCGGTTCTTCTCCTCTATCAAGTTCTCGTTGTCCTTGCTGAGTCGATCTTGAATATCCTTCCAAAGCTTCTTCTCGGCCTTGAGGTTGGCTGCCTCATTTCGCACGCTGTCGAGCAAGCCCTTGGCCTCAATGAGCTCCTCGGCAACTTGTTGGGTTCGGATATCCTGCTTGGCGGCGGTTTCCGACAGGGTCTGGTTGCGCTTCTGAAGCTCGCGGTTCTCGCCCTGGAGAGCGACAAAGTTGGTGTGCAACATCTCTCGTCGCTCAGACTCAAGTCTAACCTCAGCGTGAAGCTTCACCTTGTCTGTCTGCAGCGAATTTCGTTCGGCTGAGAGGCTGTCGATCTGATCTCGCATATCCTTGCGAACTCCATCTTGGGCGTCGCGGAAACTATCGTACTCGCCCTGGAGCTTGCGGAGGGCCTCATTCAGAGCCTCGGTTTGCTCAGTCGCTTCGATGCTGGCCAAAGGTGGACGCTGGCCACCGGCAAGAGAATGACGCATCATGGTTGCCTCGTCACCGTTAACACCTCGCTGCTGTAACAGTCGTCGGAACATGTCTCGCTCCATCTTGTAACTCTCCATTGTCGTCTTGATGGACTTGGTCTCCTCTATCATGTGCACCAGCTCCTGTTGAAGCTTCTCAACCATGTCGTGATCCTCCTTGGCCTGATGCTTGGCCGCAAGCGCCTCCTCACTCTCAAGTTGCTCAGCAAGCTCTCGGGTGATGCGCATGAGCTCCTCGTTCTTGGCCTGCAGTGACTGGACATCCTTGAAGACCACCAGCTTCTGGGTGATGAACTGGTGAGTGTCGGACATGTCAGACAAAGCCTCCTCGGTAATCTCGCCCTTCTCCAGCTGCTTGAGGCGGAAAACTTCCTCATCAGTCAACTGCTCCATACCCTTCTCGATGGCATAGATGTTGAACACGAGCATCTGGATCTGGGTTCCAAGATCACGGAGCTGAGTGCGCATGATCTTGTTCTCGGACTGTGCCGTCGCAAGTGCGCCCTCTGCCTTTCGCGCTGCACGTCGAGCAGCATCTCGTTCCTCGAAGCTCTGTTGCGACAGCTCCGACATGCGTGTGATCTCTTCTCGAAGAGTCTCTGACTCGGCTTGCAGCTCTTGCATCTCTGGAGCCTTGGCCTCAAGTGCCGACATCATGCCGTCAAGCTCTTCAGAGAGCTGCTGGTTGCGGCGTCGTTCGCTGGCCAGCTGAGCCTTGACCTGGTAGAGTTGGTCAATGGCTTGCGTCGCGGTCATCGCACCCTTGCTACGGATGGAAGCCGGGGTTCCGAAAGGAGATGAAGGTCGTAGCATGCCGTTAGGACGAGGAGTCGCAGGTGCAGACTCGGGTGGGGGAACATTCTGCTCCAGTCGAACTTGGAGTCCGTCAATCTCTGACTCGAGCTGCTGGATGCGCTCCTCCATTGCGCGCGAGTTCTGTCGCTCCTCCTCAAGCTCGACTCGGATACGTCGAATCTCGTTTTCGTAGTTGTCCTTGAGGCGCTCCTTTTCAGACTCGAGGTCGCGTACACGTTCCGAGTGTTTCTTGCTGAGCTGGTCAGACATGTCGACAAGGCGTCGCTGGTCCTCAAGCTCATGTTTATAACTCTCGACAGTCTGAGCAAATGTACCCTCCTGCTTCTGCAGCTTAACGAGGGCCTCGTCTGCCTTGGCTTGCATGGCATCAAGTCGGTCGCGGAGTTGCTGCTCGGTTCGCTTCAGGGCCTCGACTTCGGATTGAATGTCTTCGTTCTGGCGCTGAAGTTCGGCGATGCGGGCGCCCTTTTCCTTTCGGTACTTGAGGCCCTCGTCGCTCTTTGTCTTGAGTTCATTCTCGAGCCATTCGCTGTTCTTTCGGGCCAGGTCGAGCTGCTGCTGGAGCGATTCCTCTCGGTACTTGGCGCTGTTGAGCTGACCCCTGGCGTTCTGTTCAGACTGTTGCAGAGTTGTAATCTCGCGTGCGAGCTCGACATTTCGCTGGTGCTGCTTGGTGAGCTCCTCAGTGATGGTCTGATCGCGCTTGTTGTTCGATTCGATGATGCTCAGGTTAGTGCGATTCGACGATTGAAGGGTTTCAATCTTGTCGTTGAGAGACTTGATCTCGGCATCGTAGTCAGATTTCTTGGCCTTGAAGACCTGGAGTTCGTTCTCGACGGATTGGCGCTTAGTTTCTGCGTTGAGGATGAATGTCAACAACCGTGTAACCTCGCTTCGCGCATCCCCACCAACACATACCTTCGTCCTTGAGAAGCTGTCTAGCCTCTTCCACGTCCTTCAGGGCCTTTTCGGCGGTAGCCTTGGACGTTTGCGAGCGCGACTCGGAGCTACGAACCGCGTTCTCTAGCTCGATGTCTGTCTGAAGCTTCTCAGCGTACAGGGTGTCGAATTCGTGCGCCTTGGCCGCAATAGCCTGAAAGAGAATGTTGACGAGATCAACAGTCGGCTCGGTCGCCAGGGTCGTCAGAACAGGCTGATCGAGGCCAAGGTGGCCTGCGATGTAGCCCGTGTCCACATCCGCGGCCGCCATGGTGGTGATCGAATCAGGCTGAGATCGCGGCACTCGTCATTCCCGCAGCTGCGCGTCGAAAAGGGCAGTTTTGATTAAAGATCCACGTGATTGATCGCGTCGCTAAGTATCGGGCGTCGTGAAGAATGAGTGTGGGTGATGTTGATGAAAGATCTCCGACAAAGGAAAGAATTTCGTTGTTGGAGTGAAAGAATCTGGCTGGAGCTTCCAGGCTGAAGATCTAGAGACACTGTTTTTGGAAAGTCAACACCCAAGGCTGTTGCTGTCTGAGGAGCAACGTGCACGGGCCACTTGGAGCTGGAGCTGCGCTGGCGTCGGAGAATTGCTTTTCCGTCCAACTACCCTGTATTCACCCACTGAGCTTGATGGGCTTTTTTGTCGTAGCAAAAGAATTCATTGAGTTCTGTCTGTCTTTTGTCTTTGTTTAAGGACCTAATGTATCTCTCTGATTATTCGAATACTATTGTTCTACCTTCAAAGCCAAAATAAGAGTACAGTCGGTGGGCTCAGTGTGATGTTACCCCTTGCATTACACGTCTCCACCGTCAGCAAGTTTGGGGAACAAAGAGCAATCTGTTAGACACTTCCTTGCCATTGGCTATGCGATCCCGTTGTTGGTTTCTAAGTCCAGACCGCTATGGGTCATACCTAGATGATGAACAAAGGAATCTAATCCAAACAGTGTGCAGCAGGGCAAAACGCCACACCTGATCTCTTATGGTATACGAGCTGTGGTGCAAGACGTAACAATAGCCTAGCTTGATGAATGTCCAAACAATAGGGAGTATTGGGTATCTAATAAAAATATCTATTTTGTCTAGTTATTGTATACTACGGTGACAAGGGTAGGTAGGGGCCTCACTAAAATGGATGCTCATGAGTTCATATGTATGCCACGACAATGAAGATTGTGTGATGCCCTAAGCTACCAGCAGCTCCGGAGAAACCTACTTGCTACCTGACACAGTGTATTAACTTCAAAGTGAGCTCCTAATTGGACTGAATATGGCCCCTATTCACCCTCACAGCCATAGTGAACATTCATCGCTCCATCCCCATGTTATCGATAGTCACCTATCTTACTGAGAGCATGTGACCACTGAAATTCCCCTTAGAGCGCAATGCAGCTTGGCAGAACTGTATTTAAGATACTAGCTACTAACCTTGTAAACATTCCCATGTCCATTCCATGACTTTAAGATCTCAATGTACCAGGGAATAATTCGCACACGAGCCTCACACATTACAAACCCTGACCTCGATCGTACAGTCATAAGAATACGAGTTAGAAAGTACGCCTATCTACGTGGTCAATCATCTCATAATACAGCCATATACACCCGAGTCTACCATATCCAACGGTTTTGTAACTCGTTACTCCAAACCCAATCCCAACGCCGGCTCAGAAAAGATAATCACCATTACACCAATCTACTTTGCCCACCGTCCAACATTCGAGTCCAGCTCATACGACTCCACGGGTCCAGACTGAAATCCCATGTTTGACTGCGGATTATACGTCGGTGCTGGGTTCGAGGGGAATTCGTACACGGGCTGGCCTCCCCAGCCGGGTTGTTGGGGGTTCTGGGGTGTCATTGGCGAGACGTAGTTGGATTGTGGTGATGGATGGCCGTAGGGTACCTTGGCGGGATGAGATTGTAGCTCAGGGGTTGGTGCGTGGTTAGGTGGGAGTTCAACGACTGGCTTTCCTCCATATAGTTCTGGTTTTGGGGAGGATGTTGATGAGAGCTCGGATACGGCTGGTGGTGCGTAATGACCCTTGATGTACTCGCTGTTGCCCATGAGTTCTGGCTGGCCGGTGTATTCTGGAGGACCATCACCACGACCGTCGCCAGGGTTCGAGATTTCTACCCCTCGAGCTTGACGTTGTCGTCTTCGTCGGATGAGCATGAACAACCCAATACCAATGGCGGCGACGACCACGACACCGGCAATTCCACCCGCGATCGGTGCGATATTCGTCCCTCCTGATTCGTCCTTGTTCTTGTCGTTTTCTGTACTGTTGTCGTCACCGCTCGAACCCGAGGAACCAGTTTCTTCAGGAAGGCCATCACTGCCAGTCAAAGTCGCATGTCCTGAGCCCGTCTGAACAGGACCAGTTGCACCAGTTCCAGCACCAGCCCCAGAACTCGCAGTCGGGTACGACTGATGGATGGATTCACCAACAGTAGCAACAACCAAACTCTCAGCCGCGCTGCAGTAGTACTTGAAAACATCGACAGCTGAAGTCACGTTGCCGATATTCGTGCTGTCGCAGTAACCCTTGACCAATGAGGTCAGACTACTCGAGATATCCTTGGACATTCCGGATTTAATGCAAACGCACGAGGCGAGTTCCTGGGGTCCTTCGCCGCATAGCCAAGAGCTTTGCTATAGTCGAGTCAGCGAGAGAAAGCAGATTACAAGTAGGAATAGTTACCCCCAAGACAACAGACTCGATACCGCTCTGGGCACACTTGTTAAGCGACTGATACTGAGGTAAAGCGGTGATATAGTAAGACACTACACAAAGTCAGCATATGAGTTTTGAAGCAGGCCGCATAACTGACTATCTCCAGGAGGACCCTTTGGAGTCGCAAAGGATGTAGTGCCGTCATTCATTGCGCAAAACTCGCTGTAAAAGTTTTGCGCCGAGGTGACATCCTGATTGTTGGAGCAAGACCACTTGACTGAGCTCTTGAGTGTCTCGGTGATGTCGTGAACCACGTCCTTCTTGTTGCAGACGCAAGGCGCATTCAATTCGGCCGCTTCAGGGCATCGATACGCAGCCTATCCCTCTGTCAGCCATGAACATGAACCCCCAACTCTTCAAACATACCACTCCAATAACGGCATATGAGATTCCTGACTGCGCACATGGCGGCAGATAAGCCAGCTCCGGCAGATCGGTAATGTACGCCTCGACAACATTCGTCGTCGGAGAAAAGAATGTAATGTCCTTGTCTTGATGACAGTACTTGTCCATCAACTTGGACGCGCTCGAAAGATCATCGCTCGCGCTCGAACCGCAGCTATACGTGACGTCGCTCGAGATGGAAGACGCGACCTGGTTGAATCTGGTGGAGCAGATGCATTTCTGCAGCTCAGTCTCCGAGTCGCCGCACATGGTCGAGTAGGTCTGCATCGCGACATTGTACGAGATGGCGCTGGACACACATGGCGCCTAAGGGGTCAGTATCACGTTCGAGTGCTTGTCCAAGAGGCATACCAGATATGTAAAGATTTCGAGGTCAGTCACGTAGGAAATATCCGCGGCGGTTGAAAAGGTGGCCAGGCCGACTAGAGTAGCCAGCGAGAGGCCGTGTAAGTGCTTCATGGCCCAACTACAACGAGTGTATATCAACGAGAGGAGAAAAGGAACGGCACCCTCAACCGAGGGGAATCACAACCACAAGAACTACACAGAAGGAAGTTTCCGAAAGTAAAGGACCAGGCTCAAAAGCCTCGTTCGAGGCTGTAAAATGCCCTCCTCTATCTGGTGGGGGAGCCCCAAAACGCGCCTTGGCGAGTCCAGATGCAGCTGGCGCCGGGACCCCTGAAGCTAGTCCTGATGGCTTCTCCAGCTGAAGGAACCGGCTACATACAATCCCGTGCTGACATTGAAGCGTGTTCCTGCATGAGTCTCTGATTTGCAGAGAGCGGAAAATTCTCCTCCCGAGATGATATCAAGGAGGATTCATGCATGTCGGTATGCTTGGGAGATGATCTTATCCTAAGATTGCCAGCCTTGATGACCCGGTTAGATGTCAAACGCCATGAAGGCATTCGCACACTGAGCGTGAATTCCAAAGCACAGGTTTGTTTTTCCCCTTAGCGTCCCTGAGATGAACGCTTCACGCCATGGTCAGAGCGGAAGGGTAAAATGAGTCTTTTTTCCAGCCTAACGAGTGGGCAAACATCAGATACCCAAGCTGTCGATCACAATGGACATTTGCGGTCAATAAACGGGTAACGGATACCTGATCGGCTTTCGATATCGGAAACTCGTATTTATCCCGTAGGGCTGGGCATTAAAGCACTCGCTTGTTCTCTCCTCAACAGTCGGGCGTAGAGAGAAGATGGAGAACAGTAGAGAAACTTGTCTCCATCTTGAGGAGGGGCCAGCCATTCCCCAATAAAGTCAAGTTCCGCAGCGCCACTCGGATAGTGACTGATCCAGATCAGCTCCCATTGGTCTCTTGTGAAATTAGTAGAGGCGCCTGCAGAGTGGTCAAACAACGCCAAGTGTGTTGAACGCAACAGAGGAGCGAACGAGCGAAGGGCATTAGGCGAAGCCAAGCGCTGTTTGGTGATTCACCCGACGAGGGGAGCAAGCATGTAGCCGGTTGTGATGCTTTTCCCCGCTGACTAAGTTGGAGTGATGCCGAGGTCGCCATCACGTGGGTACCCCGGATGCTACTCCAAGCTTCCCGCGGGTCGGTCCAACCACTCGGACCCTCGGCTATTGAACCTTGTGGCAGTTGAAAGCTCATGACGTCTGCCGCTCAGGCACCACCCATTGCCGGCATAGCAGGTGGCTTCAAAGTGACAGCTGGATCACAGGATGAAAGGACGTGAGGCTCAAGTTTGTTGTTGTGAATAGTTCATGTCTGTTACTAGTAATAAAATGGTATCTGAAGCTGAAGCTTTCTCAGCTATGTAGGTATAGTTAGGTATTCCGTATCCCGTTGTTCCATCCGCCGTCCTTGCCATGGTTCCAAAACGCCATGCTCAAATAGTAAAGTAAAAAATATATAATAGTATATCGCGGCCCTTTTTTTTTGTAATGCCGTTTCCCAAGTCGCTTGTGTCCCAAAAGCATGTACCAGAAACCCCGAAAACAGTAGTAATCAATCTCTTTTTTTCATCGTAGGGCCCCTGCCTATAGGACCCGCACGATCTTGGGTAGTCGGTACCGCGATGGGCTGTCGTAGTATTCGCTGATCATGCCGTGAGTCGCTGTGGCTCTCCGCGCGGGGAGCTTGCCAGAGGCGGTTGATGGTCGTCGCATCTGGTCTGTCGTCGAGCCCCTCCGTGACTCTCGGGAGTTTGCGCGCTGGCTGTATCTGTCGGTTGATGTCTGGCGCGATCGTGCGGAAAAGTTGTCGGAGGAGGTGGTTCTTGAGCTGCCGCGGGAGCGAGAGCGAGGGGTGCTGGCGCAGTCCCAGTCGGCGGGCTCCTCGCAAATCTCATCGAGGAGGTCATCGTCGTCAAGCTCGTCGTACATCCTTTGCTGCTCAAGGTTGCTGCTGAGCGTCTCCCATAGGTCGAGGCCGAGATCGTCCCAGATGACGACGGCCTTGAAGAGTCGACGGCAGGCCTGTGTGCCCTCTGTCTTGTCGAGCTCGCCATAGGACTGAAGCTCGCCGAGGCTGGGGAGGCTATCCCAGGCGATGGAGATCTGGTCGCACTGGTCCTTGAAGGGGGAGCGCTCGAGGTAGTAGGTGAGAAAGTCGGAGGTCTCTGCCTTTGTCGCGAACTCGGCCTCCTCGAGGGCCTGTAGACGGAGCTGCTCCTCCTTGACCTTTTGCTCCTGCTGCTGCTTCTGCTTGCGCTTCTTGGGGTTCCCAAAGAGGGGAACCTTGGGGACGTTGTGGGCGGTTCCTCGAAGCATCATGATGATTTGTGTGTGGTGGTTATTGTTGTTGTGTGAAAAAGGGAGTCGACTGTGTTGAGAGAATGGAGGGATCGCTGATTATATGAGACAGGAGTCGTTGGTCGAGTAAAACAGTGTGAGTTGTCGTGTGTCGTAGGGAGCTAATAAAAGCAAACACACAGCTGGTCTCGTCTGATTGGCAATCGAGAGTCCAGCTCGTCGACTCGTGTGTTGGGTCTGGACTTTGTTTCCAAGGTAAAACAGCAGACGTAGGGAGGGAGGGGGGTGGGAGGGTCCTGGGTATATGAAGGGCTGGGGGTGGTTTGGCTCCGAGGGAGAGGAGACGAGAGAGGAGAAAAAAAGCTTTGTTCGGATTCGGGATTACTGGGATAATCAGATAATCGCCAAGAGTTTCCAACAAGCAGGTAATAAATGTGATGGGGATCCGCGGCTATTTTGGGTAGTAACCGTAGTAAGCCTTGCTTGGAGGGTGTGCGTGGTGTATGCGGTGGCCGTAATTCCGGGTCGGGAGTTCGCGGGTCCTTGCTTTGAAGATCGTAGATGGTGAGATGGAGCTTCACAACAAAAGATCTACAGCCTTGGGAGGGTCTGCTTTTTAATAATGCCTTGATAGACATGATGGCTAGATCACCCTGACAAGAGACGGAACATTCCCCCGGAGATGCCATCAGTGCCTAGCCCAACGGCGTATTCAACAGAGTTTCGCCAAGTGCGCCAGCCCAAGGACCCGGGCCGTCGTCGTCGAGAGAAGAGAAGAGAGAGGAGAAGAGGCAGCCGTCTAGAGTCTAGCCTTAGCCAGTCTCAAGGGAGCCCGAGTAAACAGCCTCGAGGAACCAGAGTTTAGGCGACATTTCTTGTTTGGCAGCCATTCTATTGGACGTCCACACCCCAGACCGGGGTCATTTTGCGGCTTGGGACTAGGGAGGGAGCGGAGCCGCGACTCACGCTCATCACAAGCACAGCCAGGCCAAGCTTGTTGCTTTTTCTACAGTGTAAATTTTCTTGCTTACTCCTACAGTCCGGCGGTCTGTCTGTGTGTTGTCAAGTCAGGTCCAGCCGGTTCCATTTGTTGGCTTTTCTACGTGGCTGTCGTCCCGTCCACATCCTTCAAGTACCGAGTTGGCCGAAAGCTTGACCGACGACCGAAGGGGGGGTCCCATCTCGGTGGAATGTTGGTAAAAGGCAAACCCGGTAAAATTGATGACGAGGCTTTCCATCCATCGCCCATGTCACTCCATCGCATCACTCTCGCTGGGTGTTTGTTACCCGCCGAGCAATACCCCGTTGCTTAGGGGGGGCGTCTGGTCTCGGAAACCACTCCCTCACTTCCCCGACACGACGACACACGCAACTCGCGCGCGCTATCATGACACGCTCCGTGATTCCGTCCCGTCCTTAGTGGGCAGCTACCCGTGTGTTCCTAGTCTCCGCGCAACACGATCCCGCCCGTGCGAGCAGGCAGGTCCAGAGATTCCTCACCCAGACACACTGGTTACTGGACGGGAAAAGGGGGCACGGGGCACGTCAGGATCTCGCACGGTTGGGGGAAGAGGACCACCGGCATCATGTTCCGGCGGACAGAGCTGCAGGGGAAAACAGCGTCCTAGACATGGGAGGGGTCCCCTGGTGGTTGGAAACATTACCTCTTTGCGGTCTGGTGCCACCAAAGCTGCCTGACAGGGCCTGACACAAAAGGGACAGGCGTCCCTCGGGGCGAGCACGTCAGTGCCAGGTTGTCCCGTTATTTGGTACCGACCCGACACACTGTAAGCGGCTAATCAGCTGGCCAGGTCCCCCAGTCGCGTCACTTCACTCGGGTCAAAGACACCCTCCCGCGCAGGGCACGCTCTCCGCGGGACCCCGTTCCATCAATAGCAAGGCGGACGCTATTGAAGCCTCAACAAGGGCAACCGGCAAAAGCCATGTCCACCGTGGATACAGACTCCAATAGAGAGCAACCGGCATGTGGAAGCTCATCCAGGCCAGGCTCCTCTTTTTCCCGGCGTTGTTGGTGTCCTTGAACCAGGTCGTCGGGTCCCTATTCAAACATCCACAATCGCCGCCGCCTCCGCCGCCTTGACCCCCCGTGATCAGATCCCATCGAGAATGCCATCCATCGAGTAAAACCCCAGATTTCATTCACATTGTCCAGACTTGTCTGTCAATAGTGTTATTCAATGAACGGAACGGCAAGTCCCTTTCTGCCACAAACGAAGGGCTGAAAGGTCCACAGCTGTTGAGCCTTTATTGTCGTCCCGCATGTCGCGAGGCGTCTGTCTTTGATGAGTTTGAAACGCACCTCGACCCTTCTTCTCTTCTCCCTTGCCTGAGGTGCCTTACTCGCAACGAATGCTCCGCGGTGCCGCAAATAAGTGTAGTGTGCGTTGTGTTTCCGAGAACCGGCAAACTAACGCGGACCGAGCAAGCCCGGAAAATCCGTCGGTTTCGGAACGCTCTCAGCACCGCCCTCCCCCATCCCTTCTGTGATGAAAATCAAGGTTTCCAACTGCCAGGTGACAGCAAAACTCTCTTTACACGGCATCTCCCTTGTGGTTCCCCCTTTGGGATCAAGTCCCCATCATACCCATGCCGACGGAACGTCCAGAAGAGAACAGCCGGGGGGGAGGGAGAGTGTCTAATCTGCGTAGGTGGCTGATCAGTATAAACGAGACCGAAGTCGCTCTGTCAAGGTTGCGGCCACATTCCATCCACCCGCCGCCCTCACTGTGAAGCGTCTCGGCCTCTGATTGGGGCGCTATCGGCGCATGTGATTGGGTCGCGTCCCTTTTCCCAAAGAGGCATCTATCCGCTATCCGCGATGCGACAGGCACAGCGCGGCGCAGAGTAATCTGGCGAGGAATGAGGACCAGACGGCGAGGCGGAGCATCGGGCACCCGGGCGGGTCCGGCGTCCGCCATTCGGGACTTTGTTGTGCGGTTGAGCGAAGCCCAGAAGCCTTCTCATCAAGCCTCTTGACTCGATGGAATTCCAGAGATGCTGGGCTTTTCTTTGTGGGTTATGCTTTCATTGTGACGTGCCTATTCAAGATCGGTTCCTGGTATTCGAGGATCCAGGTTCTTGGGAAAAAACGGAGATGTCCAGCGTTGTTACCAAGAGACTGGGATTGTGGCTCAAAGTCTCCTGGCTGGCATTGCTATTGTTGGTCAACCTGACAATGAGGATGAATCAAAGTCTTGACGGTGGCTTCAGGTCAGGTCAAATCGCCTGATGTGGGTGTCAAGGGGACCTGCGACAGAGCCCACTCTCGCCCAAACACGACTCCGTGTTAGAAGGCGATGGAGACAATAACCCTTTTGTGCTATGAAAGTGGTTCCAGATCTGAGGCTCTTGATTAAGGGACTTTGCAAGTGCAAGATCGACCCATTGTTACCCTGAGCACGGACGATATCGATCAACATGTCTTGTCTTGGTACGTTGTGCTCTCTTTTTGGAGGTGCAGGCCGGCAACCCATCTTGTCAGCTGGCGGACACTGGCACTGGCACTCGCGAATACCCTCACTTTGGATCATTAGCTGGCACTGCCAAACAGCCGACAAACGCACAACAGAAAAATCTTCCGCACAAGGCAGCAACCAAAATGATTCACAATGGAAAAAAGAAATCTTGTTTTTTCTTCTTCACCTGCATTGTTCACGCTTCTTTCATCACCACAACCGATCAAGCAAGAACAAAGCTACCTCATCTCAACATCGCGATCATTCAAAATTCCCACATATTCACCTTCATCCCAAGAACATTTTTCTCCATACGCCCTGATTCACGTACGCGAACATGTTTTTCTTCCGTCGCAAACTCGACTACGATCCGAAGGAATTTCCTCGGTATCGCGAACTCTTCCCAGAGCAGAGATCCTTCTTTGAGAAGCTGCTCGACTACAAGCCCGCTGCCGTCAAGTTCATCGCCGCTAGCTGGCATATCCTCGTCCTCACCTGGAACATCATGATTCAGTTCTTCGCCATTATCGACTACAGCATCTTCAACGTCCCCACCGCTGTTAGATGGCTCGGCAACGAGTTCATCACGGCTGATGGCTGCAACATGGTTCACGGTATCCTGCTCATCTTCTGGCTTTATCGCACCAGCTACTCTCTCAGCTTCGTTCTCTGCGACCTCTTGAAGTGGCTTCATCAGAATTGGGTGCCCTTTTACGCCGACCTCTGGCTTGATCGCCTCCGCTTTGTTGGATCCATTCTCCTCTACATCTTCTTCAGCATTCCCACCGTTCTCAACGCCCTCAGCATCCTCGTCATTTGCGGAGTCATTGGAATCCCCTTCTTCCAGATTGCCCTGTACCTCTATGGCATTTGTCCCCCTCGCCCTGACTGGCTTCGTCGCCCTGACTGGCTTCGTCGCCCTGACTGGCTTCGTCGCCCTGACTGGCTTCGTCGCCCTGACTGGCTTCGTCGCCCTGACTGGCTTCGTCGCCCTGACTGGCTTCGTCGCCCTGACTGGCTTCGTCGCCCTGACTGGCTTCGTCGCCCTGACTGGCTTCGTCGCCCTGACTGGCTTCGTCGCCCTGACTGGCTTCGTCGCCCTGACTGGCTTCGTCGCCCTGACTGGCTTCGTCGCCCTGACTGGCTTCGTCGCCCTGACTGGCTTCGTTTTCCTGAGCCTGAACCTCGATGCAATCAGCCTGTACCCTTTTCAGTTCGCTTCTCCAACCCTCCTTCGCCCAGGACGCCAAGGACACCACCTCCCCCTCCGTCGCCTCCTTCGCCTCCCCGTGCATTCGATTTTTGCCCACCACCCGACCCTGAAGCCGTCAAACGCCGTCCTTGGCTCTATACCACATATCCTGGAGCTTCTTACCACATGCGCAATCCCTTCTCCTCTCTCAAACCACCCGGAGCTGCCTACGTCACGCCTAAGCCTGCACCACCGCCGAAGCCCAAGCCTGTATCAACCATTAAACCACCTGGAGCGTCTTATCAAAAGGTCTCTCCCAAGGCCAAGCACTACCTGCGCTCTCATGGCATCAATCCGAAGCACCTCACGCCTAAGCGCTCTACCAACTTCCAACGCCTCAACTCTTCCCAGCAGAACCGACCCGTTGATACCGAGCTCCAATACCAGTGGTTCGGGGGTATCCTCTCTTCCGCCGAACGAGAACTCGTTCAGATGAACAGTGAGGCTAAGCGCCTCAAGACTCTCATCAATCAGTTCCACAAGCAAAGCTGCGCTTCGATTCAAATGACCTCGATCTCACCTACTACAGCTCTCCTTCCTCGCCCCGAGATCGCCGCTGTCAAGGGAGACAATGCGCGCGAGAAACTCCGATTCAGGGCCCTGTTGGCCGAGTATCCTCCCGAGATTAAGAAAATCGTGACTTACATCCAGCAGTCTCACCCAAGAATACGAGATGCCCTCACCGACCTCTCAGACCGTATCGACCCTCTCGACCAGAGCGCCGTCGCAAGTGCCATGCGCGCCGACTACGCCGACTGCCAGGACAAGCTCACCCGCATTGTTAGAACCACGGAGCGAGCCCACATCAGCGCCGAGAACACCCAGCAGCGATGCCTCCGCCGGATCGAAGAGCTGAGCGACGAGATCGCCAGACTCGACAGCATCGACCTGAGCCACAAGAAGCTCAAAATGACGGCATACTCCCCTTAGAAGCGGGTGCCTCACCCAACCAAGGATGCAAAGTCCGCCAAGAGCGGCGCGGTGCTAGCCACTAACATTCAACGACTGAAACTTAACGACTAATGACTCTGCGACATTGAATTCGCAACGACTGCATTTGCACGGATCATGGAAAGGCATTGGGGGTTGCTACACATATTTGTTTCATTGACACAAGGGATATAGAGGGATAAATGATTTACACATGGCCAGTGGCCCGGAAAGGATTGTACAGTTTCGTGTTGTATACAATTGAATTTGACCAAGTCTGAGTAATGGCATCTGATAAAGTGACATGTTGGTACTTGCTTGGAGCATTGATCTCAGTGAAGTCTTGATCCATATGATCAACTGTCTTTGCTCGACTGCAGTCAAGCCTGACCAGCGTCGCTGCTCTTCTGATCGGAAGCCTAGACAACGCTCGTGACGCTAGCTATTCTGTTCATCGCGACTGTGCTTTGGACGAGACTTTTGTCCTGTCATTTCGCAAGCAGCCTCTACATACCTGACGTTCCAAATCATTATAATCATGACCTTGGCGATGCCTCACCCAGCCAAGCCTTGATGAAAATTCTTCACAATTTATCCATTCGACGGAGAAATCCGTGTAGCTGCCGAATCCGGACTGACTCTTATTCCTGTGGTGGCTATGGGAAGGCCTCGGTGTTAGCCTTATTCATAGCCATGGGCAGGAATGCAATCCAGTCTAGCCCACTCTTACGCTATGGACTAGGGTAATTACCTAGACAAGCCTCGATTGGTGGATTCCAAATTCCAAATTATCAACGTCGTTGCTTCAACTCGTCATGCTACGTGTATGGTGGATAGAGGGTGTTGCACTCTGCCCTCTCGAGTGACAACGAGGAGGACCTTGTTTCTCCGGCATTGGACAAAGATGAGTTGGGAATTCTTGCCAGATAATTACGGTCGCTGATTGTTCCTTAAGTCTCCTCTGCGCTCTACCTGCTCTCTTCCTAAAGCACTATGCCCACTGCTGACATTATGGGTGCTGTCCGGGCCAACCGAGAGTTGTTTCACAAGAAGCTGTCAACATCGTGAACTGCATCCTCAAGTCACACAAGCACATCAAAATAAAATCATGAGAATCATCATGTAGGCGACAATGCTTTACAAGCTGTCATCTTCATGCTTCCATCGGGTATCGTAACAGGTAGAACAGATCATCAAGATCATCCAAAACCACATTGACCCTCAAGACCAATCCATCTAGTCACCCTTCTCAGAATCGTAAACCTGCCAGTAAAGCTTGGCCTTCTTCCCACCATTCAGAGCATCGCAGTCGACAGATCCACGGGCTGCCATCAAGAACCCGGAAGAGTAGTCCTGCAGCGTCTTTTGCACGATCCATTCGACGTCGTCGTCGCCTAGCAGAACACCGCCCTTGGCTCGGACGCCCAGAGAGCACGAGTCTGACTTGACGATGGGGACGAAGCCAGTGCCGTAGTCTTCGGCAGCGTTGGTGACGGCAGGGATGGTAAAGGTGCCGTTGTGAGGTCCAAAGGCTGAGAGGAGGGATGCGCAGTCGCGGAAGTCGCCTCGCTTCACGTCGGAGGGGGCGAACTTGGCCTTGTAGGTCGCCTTGTCACACATCTTGCGAGAGTTGTCGCTGGGGACCCAGAAAGTTGAAGCGATGGGAGTGGCCGAGGGAGTTGCGCAAGCCGTAGAGGTAGACACGGCGACGATGTCGTCAAACAGGGTGGCCGAGGGAGCAGGCGCGGGAGCAGCAGCCGCAAGACCCATGAGGGCAACCGTGAGAGCGAGGACGCGCATGATGACTCTGTCGATGGTGGTTTGAAAGAAAGGTCGAGGCGAAAAGAACCTAAAGATATAGGTCGAGGGTGTGAAGGTGATTCAATGAGCGTGGGTGAATGGTAAAAAATGGTGATCAACACCTTTGTTAAGGAGAGACTGAGAAGGTAGAAAAGAAGGCGCTGCGCGGCGGCACAAGAAAAAAGCGTGAAGAGGCGGATGAAGAGTGGAAGTTGATGGGGAGATGGTGGGTTATTATCTCGACGAGGAGGAACGTGGGATGCGATCACAGGAGTGATGGGGGCGTTTCAAGTAGAGTAGATCATCTGTTGTTGACTTGGGATCACAATGGAGACGATGATTTTTGAAAGGAAGTTTTGCCGATTTATTTTGAAAGAAAATTTTGCTCATCGTGTACGGCTGCCGGCTGGTTGACAGTGTCAGCCAGTGAGGCCCGTTTGCTTCATCAGTCGCCATGTTTCGATATCCGTGGCTGGTGTTTACCGTTGATGTTTCTCAACGGCTTTGTTTCGAGTTAAACATAGAATTCATGCACAGACATGGCCGTTGACAGGTAACGTGCAAGAATCAGATGAGACATGTTTTTTTTAATTGATTCAATTACCGACATTTCCATCGTTGAGGATTCGTCCCATCTCGCAACGTTGACCTCGTCAAGAACGCCTGTTGCTGCTCGTTAACTGATATTTATAGTGGGTTCTATTTCCCTTGAATAATTGTATAAATGGGCAATTGATAGGGTTGAAACAAGTTGTTTGCCTCGCCTTGCTCTGAATGCCATGCGCATAAACAACCTCAGCTCAGACCCCATGGATCCAAGCCCACAAGTTGATGATGGTGTGTGGGCGAGGAACAGGAGGCAGAGAGATAGGCATTATCTTGATTCTTTCTTACACCATTGTACGAAGAGATATTACTGATTCATACAACACTCCTCCAACGATAGCCGACCATGACCGATTCCCAGGTCGACATCCATCATTCATGATCCCGCCCAGATTGAGGCCATCCTGCTAGTGGATCTGCAAGCACTTTCAGTGGAGAGGCTCCGCTGAAGCCCACTAACCCGACCCGCAGTTCATCCACCCCGCGCCAGGGCAGTTGAAGAAAAAAAAGTTGGACCTGGATTTGGCCCTGGCTAACACAAACTCATGACCTGGCTGTTCCTCCGTACAATGTTGAATAGGTAAATAGTTGGAATTTTATACCTATACCTGATCTTCTATAGTATATCCCATCCTTGATTTTCTTATATAATAAAATCAAGAAAAAACCTGATGGGCAACCCGCCAAGCACAACCTCAACATCGCCAAGCCCCTCCTCTCGGCCCCATCATCATCCGTGCTCCGACCGATGACGACCCCCTCCTTTCTCGGCCGCCGCGGCACGGCCAACGACCAACAATGGATGTTTCGCCCGGCTGAAGCTCCAAGAGCTGGAGCTCTGGGATGACTTCATCGACCCCACGGATCTTCTAGCCATCGGGAACCCGCTCGCTCCTGACTCGTCGGTTCTTTTTCTTTCTTTGGTCAATTCGCAGACGTCACTGGTTCGTTTTACTCGAGGCGTCTTGACATCTCGGCCGATTAGAACGATGGACCTCGTGATCTTCACTGCTTGTCATCTTGGCCTCCGAGCGCTGGGTGTCACCAGAAAAAAAAAACCAACTGCCGTTGTGCCGGGATTCTTCTCGTCAGATCCAAGAGACCCATTGACCCGGTTCCCCCTCAATTTTGCCCCAGATCGTTCCTTTTTGTTCTGGGGTGGTTCACGATGACGATGATTAGACTATCAAAATAGCCCGCTTCAGCTGGGTGGGCTTGTTTGCCAATTAAACAGGATTCGTGACCCTTTGTAAGTTGCTTCTTGTAAGGAATTGATACATCTTTTCTCCTCTTCTTTTCCTACCCATCAATGAATTCATCCGTCGTCTGTCCATACACCACATTTATACCATCAACATGAAGACCTCTACACAAACATCACCAGGCCATCTTGGTTCAGCTGGCAAAGTAAAACGCATTGTCGGCAAGATTCGTCGTCATGCTCATCCTCCTTCCGTCACCTCCAAATCCTCTGACTCTGCTCCATCCTCCACCCGCGCTTCCAACGCATCATCAAATTGTCCTCTGCGCTGTCATAGAAACAGCCAGAGTCGTCGTGGGTCGGCAGCAGAGGAGGAGCGCGCACGCGACGTCGAGCTCTGGAACGCAGCATACGATGCCCTCAAGAAGGACGCTCGATCCAATGGCCTCGTCCTCGCCTACGAGAACATTATCGGTCACGAACTGCCCGAGGCGCATAGACCCGGCCATCATGGGAACCCGAATGAGCTACCGATGGATGGCGAGCGACGCCTGGAGCTCATGTCCATGATTGCATCTTCAGGCTTGAACCGCGAAGTCAGCGTTACATCCAAGTCGGATTCGGGTGATGACGATGCTCGCGAGATTCTTGTCGAGGCGAGATCTACTGTCGCTTCGTTGGTGCCTCAACAGCCGAGCGCCGCTCTCGCCTTTGCAGGCATCTGCTCTTTAACACCTGTCGGTACACTGCATCTTTTAATACCGGGGACAAGGCTGACTGATGTAGCTCCTCCTCGACCCTCTCCTCCGCCACGATGACCTCCGCAGCGGCTTCGTCCATCTGATAACCACCATCCCACACTACATGAGCCTCGCTCGGTGCACATACCCCTCGTCATGGAAATCCTCCGAAGACTATGAACGTCTGCAACTACAAGTCCGGCAGACGTTGTTGGATCTGTACCGTCGCATCCTCGAGTACGAGATGAACATTGTCTGCGCTGCTGCTAGCGCCTGGAATATGGCTGCTCGCAACGTCGTTGACTGGCAGGGGTGGCGGACTATGGATGATGCTGTTAGGGAGAAGGATGTAGAGGTGATGGGAGAGATGGAAAAGTATGGGACTGACGAGGCTAGAGCGATGATGGAGGAGAAGAAGCCCGTGCCAGAGGGTGGAGGAAGAGGGAGTATCTCCTCAAGTACAGATACTGAGGATAGGCATTGACAAGTATATCTACCCTCTGGTTAATGGCTGTTTCTTTCTCAGCGGCGTCATCTCAGCGGTAATCCTCCGGTTAGATTAGACTTGTTCTATCTTCTCGAGGCTCCTAGGTAAACAGCTGGCCTGTGATTCACGTTGTCCGCTTTGGACAGCCTTTACATAGCCTAACTCTAGTAATACTTTCCTGCTATAGGCGTTCGGAAGATTGGAACAGGTTTCTTAAAGTCAGCAGCGGTTTTGTACATATGTTGTCCCATCTGGTAGCTCTGTACGCGCGATCCCTCTGGGTGAGATTGTTCCTCTACCCCCTTGGCATCTTCCTGCAATTCTTCCAACCCGACCAGCGCTCGAGATGATGTTCAACGGCTGATTTGCTTCGCGCCTAGTTAAACCTGAGACCAGTTACAATTTCGTCAATACTTCACGTTCGGAGAGCATCATTGCAAGATACTATGCGGTCAGCTTATAATGTGTCATCGATTCCCGTTCACATGTCGTGGATCCTATAGAGGTACAAAAAGTCTTGATCATTTTGTCTATGTTACCATTCACAAACTCCAAGCTCTGGATCCCGTGAAACCAAGGATCCCATTCAGCGATCCTGCTGATATCCCCGTGATTCCTTTTGTGTTCCATACGCCAAATCCGCCGAGGTTGTCAATTTACAAATCCAGTAGTCGCAAAACTGCGGACCTCAACGTCCAAATGCTGGCAGAATGCCTTGATTGTCTAGGTCCTTCAGGTTGCTGGTATACTGATTCAACCGCATCTGCCAGCGGTTAATGTTCGTCTGGAACTGGATAGCCGCCATCATGTCATCCCATCTGGGCACCTGGTCACGAGTCGCGAGATCATACACGCGACTGAGAACCCGGTTGAAGTCAACTTGCGACTTCATGGCGATGCCGTACAAGTGTCGTACCAAGTCGGTCCAGCACGAGATGAAGTTGGCATCGAACGTCGACTCTGGGTAACGAAACTCGAGAGTGTTGTACTTGCTTACGACCAGAGCACAGCGCGTGGTCGTGTGGACGGGTCCCTCGTTGAACTTTCGCAGTGCGATTCCAAGGCTGGTGAGGTCCGGTTGAGACCAGAGCCGCTTCATAGCTCCGACGAGTCTCTTGTCAACCTTCTTGCGGCCCTTGAACTTCCCCATGAGCTCCGTGAGCAGCGCAACAACAGTGGCACCCTCGCCGGAAACTGCAGGCTCCCCCTTCTCCATAGCGATCGAGGACTCGACACTAACACGCATGGAGAAAGCTGACTTGGATCGATGAGGGTGGCACACCGGGTAGAGTAGCGTATCCTCAAGGTGCCACACCAAGGTCACGACCCGGAGCGCCGTCTGTAGCTTCATGTTGCCGGCGTCGTTGACATGTAAATGCAGACCACAGCCCGAGTTGAGCCCAACCACCATTTTGTCCTGGATACCCTCCAGACACGTTCTCAGTGTCGGGAGCCCGTGGTGGAACTCTTGAGGTTGCGTGAGGATTGGACTGTTTATTTCAGTTCCGAACCAGGCGTACTTAACAGAAGGCGTCTTGCTGGACTTACTAACGCAGTCCTGGGTCAGATGTCGCTCCGGCACCACGAACCAGTAGTTGGATGGTGCCACGGTTCCAGAAGTCGATGCCGCAGCCTCCTTATTCCAGACCCGGATGTTTTCTCTGGTCTCTGTGAGCTGAACGAGGCTAGATCCGAAGAATTGCCCAGGGGTGATGGGCCCGAGAAGCGGCATGCCTTTGCACCCAACGGGGGCACCGCCACTGGCCATGACTTGGCATACCTTGTGAATGCATGTGGCCTCCATGGGACTGAAGTCGCCAATGGCGAGGCCATCAATATCGCGCTTTGATGCAAGGCATTTCCACCGATCCTCACGGGGGGGGACTTCAATGGTTGATATAGCCACCAAGAACTCGACTTCCAAACCAACACAGACCGAGGGTGGAATCGTCATGTCTTTGCGAGTTGCGATTGTTCCCTGTAGGTAGGAGAGTTGCGGTTTTCTCTGTCGTCGGTAGTGTCTCGAATCAGTGATGCGAGATGCTGCCGAGCGAGCTGGCGAGAAATGAACCACCAAGGGCTCTGATTTTATACTTGACGATGCCATCTTGGTGAACGAGCTTGACGAGTTTGTGCAGAGAAGATGCGTGTTGTTCATGGTCAATTGCTGGAGGAGATTTTCATGGAGGAAACTTTCTGTTTAAAAGGATGCTGACGTTCAAGGGTGTTCCGAAACATGGCTGGGCAATTCGCCAACACTCGTTGAACGAAGAGCGGTCAGGCCAAAGGGCGCCTCAAAGAACAGAAAAAGGGGAATGTCACTTTGTGTGTGCCCACCAGTGACAACTCTTACGCCCCAGAGGCTCCTCGAGGAAATGCTGCAACCTAGGCGAGAGTCTTGACTGGCACATATCCGGCCGCTCCGCCGGGAGGGGGTGGTCTGAGATGATCATGATTTCGAAATGGTGTTTCCCTCGACGCCCTCAATCACGGGCAGCCTCTAGGATCCATTCCAAAGGGGTCCCATTGCGACCCAAGGACAAACACAGAGAGTGGCACTTGTCGCCCGGAGGCGCTTCTGACCGGTCAAGAACATGTGATCCAAGGGCATTGGTAGGGCGATTCTTGCATCCAACCATCTCGCACATTTGCCAGGGGGCAAAGATTGGAGGATGACTACGGTGCAACTTGAGGAGGAGCAAGAGGAGAACCTTGTGATTTCCGAGGCCTGGAAAATGTCCGTGACACGCCATCTAAGCCTTTGCCGCACTGAAATAAAAAAAGAAACGTGAATGGACAAGAGGCTGCATCGTGGGATTGGCCCGGAGGAGTTGTTGAACAAAGGGACTCGGTGAAGGAACTTACACGGGGGGACGTGGCAGCTGGAGGGGGATTAGCGCATCAAAGTTGCTCCGGGATGGCCAATCAGGTCGGCGCTACGGTTTATTTTGGGGAAGGCATGCTCTACAAAGCCCAGTCAATCGGTGGAGCTTGTCCAATGACTTGTTGCCATTGGTGGTGCGCGCGAGTCAAGAAAGAAACAAGCACCAGACAAGACAACAAGCAACTCCAGCTCTATCAATGCTGTGGCGTTTCTAATGACGAGAGCTACATAAATACACTGGAATAATAGTAAATTATCGTCCAATTAACCATGTCTCTAGAATACTTTACATGTCATATTATCAACTTGTTGTGTTTTTACTGTCACCGTTGGAGCTGGATAGCCACCTGCTCTGCTGTCCCATTTACCCTTAGGTGACCCGGCCGTGCCCCAGTCTAACCGGCTCAACCTTGCCCAATGACTGCCTGCGTGTGCGGGTGCTTGGAGGCAGGAGCTGACCCTGGCTTTTTTGATTGACGGAGCTCGAAAAACGCGACAGCGCGTCACATCCAACATTCAACTCCAACTTTAACATCACCATCACCAATTATCACCCAACGCTCTCCACGTATTTCACCGATTATTGCTATCGCATCACTTTCAAATTGATCGCGAACCCAAGACAAATCACCTCCGACATCGATCCCGATCCCGCCGTCCCTCGGCTCAAGGGTACCTCCCATCGCGATCGTCACTCGGGCATGTAGCTCGCCCTTCCAACATGCACATCATCAAGCCTTCATGGCTAAGCCATAGTGGCGAGCAAAAGGACTTTGAGGTCTACAGCTGTCATGTTTCTCCTGACGGGAAACGTCTTGCGACAGCAGGAGGCGATGGACACGTACGAATCTGGTCAACCGAAGCTGTCTACAATGCCAACAACTCCGACTACAATAAGCCACGTCAGCTTTGCCATATGAGCCATCACCTTGGCACGATTCACTCGGTTCGATTCTCCCCCAACGGACGCTACCTTGCCAGCGGCGCCGACGACAAGATCATCTGTGTGTACCATCTCGACAAAGGCCCTCCTGCGGCAACGTTTGGCACCAACGAGGAACCTCCGGTTGAGAATTGGAAGACGTACAAGCGCTTGATTGGCCACGACAATGATGTCCAAGACCTCGCGTGGTCCTACGACTCCTCAATCCTCGTCTCCGTAGGCCTCGATTCCAAGGTGGTCGTTTGGTCCGGCCATACCTTTGAGAAGCTCAAGACACTGCCCGCCCACCAGAGTCACGTCAAGGGTATTACCTTTGACCCTGCTAACAAGTTCTTTGCGACCGCTAGCGACGATCGTACCATCAAGATTTTCCGATTTACCTCGCCTGCGCCCAATGCGACTCAGCATGACATGGTTAACAACTTTGTCCTCGAGACTACGATTAGCGCGCCGTTCAAGAGTTCTCCTCTTACGACATACTTCCGACGTTGTTCTTGGTCCCCTGATGGCAATCACATTGCCGCGGCCAATGCTGTGAACGGGCCCGTCAGTTCTGTCGCTATCATCGAACGAACCAGATGGGACAGCGAGATCAACCTGATCGGCCACGAGGCCCCTACCGAAGTCTGCATGTTTTCACCGCGACTTTTCCATACAGTAAAGCCGGACTCAAACACAGCAGCTAACGGTAATACTGGGTCGCTTGTGACGGTTATTGCATCGGCCGGTCAGGACAAGACTCTGAGCATCTGGAATACAAATACATCAAGACCCGTGGTTATTCTTCAGGACCTTGCGGGGAAGTCGATATCCGACCTGGCGTGGACTCCGGACGGCCAGACCCTATTCGCCTCGAGTCTCGATGGCAGCATCGTGGTTGCCAAGTTCTCCGAGGGTGAATTGGGTTGGGTTGCGCAGCCTGAGGAGAACATCAAGGCCCTGCAGAAGTACGGTGGTTCGAGAAAGGGAATGGGTATCGCAGAAGATGTTGAAGGTCTCTTGCTCGAGAACCAGAGCAAGGCGGGCGAGTCACGAGCTGTCGAATCGAGGATGGGTGCGCTGATGGGCGATTTTTCTGAGTCGACAAAAGAGTCTACACCAGTCACTAACGGTACCAAGCCAAGCGCAGCTTCAAAGCCGATGACAAACGGTCAGGCAGAGCCAGAGAAGGAGCCAGAGAAGCAGCCAGAAGAGACAGCGGACAAGAATGCCGAGCGAGTCAAGGAGCTCAAATCACGAGTCACCATAGGCAAGGATGGCAAGAAACGAGTGGCTCCTTTGCTGGTATCCTCATCAGGAACTGGAACATCATCACTACCCCAGACACAGCTTGTTGGTACTACTAGTACCAATAAGACGGCCCAGAACGATGCGCCAACCACTGTCCTCGACCTCACCAAGCCGTTCGATGGGCTGCCCAAGGGGGGCATTGCTGCGATGCTGCTTGGTAACAAGAGGCGTATGAACGTTGACGGCGATGAG